CCGTTAATACGCCAGAGCTGGACACACAGGCAGACAAGCCGGTATGCGCCCTATATGGATCTCCGCTATTGTCTGAGGCCGCGTCATTTCAGTTTACTAACGGGTAACACGGAGGCGCCATTGTACAGAGAAAATTGTACCAAAACTGCCAGTTCATTTTGAACGCTGTGCGGCTCATCGGTATCCATGTGCAATGTTACGCTGTGGCTAATGATTGAAACATGTTCACTAAAATCCCTAAGGCCTTTTAGTTTATGGACTATACAATGAAGAAGACTTGTTGGAAAAAGTATTTTCTTCCGCGGAGGGTAGCATTCTCGGAATTTTTATAATTCGACTTGGCTGACGATAAAATGGCGGTAATTTATAATAAAATGGGAATATTTTTAACGATCGGAGCGTTTTTTGCCGTTGCCATGGAAGCGGAACACAATTCCGGACGGGTGAAATTTCCCCTAGATCGGTCCAGTCGTTAAGACGCCAGAGCTGGACACACAGACAGACAAACGACCGATAATAAGGGTCTCCTATAGCGGAGATCCAACAGAACAAACGATAATAAGGGTCACCTGTAGCGGAGATTCAACAGAACGACCGATAATAAGGGTCACCTATAGCGGAGATCGAAGAGAACGACCGATAATAAGGGTCTCCTATAGCGGAGATCTAACAGAACGACCGATAATGAGGGTCACCTATAGCAGAGATCGAACAGAAAAAATGATAATAAGGGTCTCCTATAGCGGAGATCCAACAGAACGACCGATAATAAGGGTCACCTATAGCTGAGATCGAACAGAACAAATGATAATAAGGGTCACCTATAGCGGAGATCGAACAGAACGACCGATAATAAGGGTCACCTATAGCTGAGATCGAACAGAACAAACGATAATAAGGGTCACCTAAAGCGGAGATCCAACAGAACGACCGATAATAAGGGTCACCTATAGCGGAGATCCAACAGAACGACCGGATAATGAGAGTCTCCTATAGCGGAGATCCAACAGAACGACCGATAATAAGGGTCTCCTATAGCGGAGATCCAACATAACGACCGATAAGAAGGGTCTCCTATCCTGGTTCCGGTACTTCTGATCTTATTACCAGCAAAACAAATTCTAGAAACCGTCTTGATGTTGACAGTGTCTTTCTTGATGCGGTCTAGCTATATAAAAGACGGTGCCAAATATAAAAAACCTCGTCAGACAGTCCCAAGCTCAAGATTTCTTTTAATTGTATACTAAGAAGCTTTGACTTTCATGTCTTTGGTTTGCTTTTGCATTTCATAATAGACAGTAAAAAGATAACGCAATTCAACACGCTTAGTTTTTTTAAATGTCGAACAAGGGGGCCACGAGTTTTCTTAGAAAGAGTATTTTCTTCCGCGGAGGGTAGCATTCTCGGAATTTTAATATTCGACTTGGCTGACGAAAAAATGGCGGTAATTTTCTCAAATGGGAATATTTCTAACGATCGGAGCGTTTTTTGCTGCTGCCATGGAAACGGAACACAAATCCGGACTTTCGGTGAAACGTACATAACTAGGTTGACAGTATAACCTACGAGTGAAATTTCCTCTAGATCGGCCCAGATGTTAAGACGCCAGAGCTGGACACCCAGACAGTCAGAACGACCGATAATAGGGGTCTCCTATAGCGGAGATCCAACAGAACGACCGATAATAAGGGTTTCCCATAGCGGAGATCCAATAACGGGTGTCCCATAGCGGATATCCAATAAATATTGACAACCATCGTCAGCGAGTGACTACCTCAAATTGGTAATTGACACAGCATGTGTAATATACCATACTTCCGGGTAAGTGTAACGTACGCATCACTTGAGGTTAATTCGAATGATTAAGCTGAAAAAGCTAGTAGTGACTGATATCTAGTAGTGTTAACGTATTTTTACGACTCTTATTTCAGGGCCTGAATATATTGAAATCTAATAATTGACTCGGTTTAGCGTATTTATTTTGATTTTTGTTGTGTCTAATCTGAAATGAGGGAAAGCTAGTATATTTTTAACGTATTTTTACGACTCCTATTGCAGGGCCTGGATATATTCAAATCTATCAATATATTCAGCGACTCCTCAATGGTCGTTCCCGCACTGAACCTCATCTCTTACCAGATGCCCCTGACTGCAAGTTTATGAGGTTGAATTTTTGAATTGCCTGCCCCGATGCCAACTCAACTACAGGTACCACGTAATATTCCTACACGAATTCCCCAGACGAAACGTAATAGATTGTATGCTTTATGTCGCTCAATGAGCACTGATCCAATTGTAATCGAGAAAATGGTTTCAATTTGAATATTTGAGCCCTGCGTACGGAACTAGAAATCACCTGGCGTAACATTTCATGAGAAAGAGATAAAGCACAAATATTGTGCTAGGCACACATATTATGCCATTCTGGAAAAATTTAGACAATTCTCAATTATATGGATACGAAAGCCAAAATGAAGTAGGTATCCAACTTTTCACAGTACTTGTACACTCACGCAGTCTTACCGACCTCGACTGAGCAGTGAGCATCATATTGCAAAGATCGCGAACGCGAACGCGGAACCGCAACGAAGTCCGCAATTTTTAATTTTTACTTCGTGTCTAACAAGCCCACAAAAATTGATTGCCATAAAAAAAAATTACTCAATGTCATTCGAATATTCCTGCTGTTACAATTTATCGTATTGAATGTTTTTTATTAGCAATTGTGATTCAATTTGTGCCTATCGAATTAAAATGCTGCTTGAAGGAAGGTTGACCCAATATAAAACCTTTACGTTGAAAAGAAATTGCCTGTGGTTAAAAATATAATCACATAATTTGCCTTTTGACGAGAGTATTTTTATTCTTCGAAAGAAAAAGATTGGATAAAAATTGAGAAATTTTTTTAAACGAACAAACTAAAATCAAAACGCAGACATTATGCGAGGCAATAACTTTGAGTGGATATAGCACATACATATTCCTGTTATGTGTTCATTTATAATGTGTGCGATGGGATACTTTAAAAATAAATATGGAAGGGTAGTGATAATTAAAAGATCAGAACTGTTTAAAATTTTATTCATTAATATATTACTTAAACTGGAATATATATTGAATATTGAAAAAGCATGCTCTATTGTAGAACAAATGAGACATGTGCAAACATGTGTGGTGCATGTGTGGGACAAGTAAGCAACGTCATTTTTGATACATCCCGCCAACAGTGTACCAAGACACATGAAACACCCACGTTGATTGATTATTCCACGTAAAAAATGATTAAGAATTAAAGATGCACGGCATCAATTATGTCTTTGATTTTTAACAAACAAAATTTATTTTAAATTATTCGAGTTACACAAATATATTTGTGCTGGTGGTAGCAAAATTCTTAATCACCCAGAATCGCTGTTTTTCACTCTTGCTTTGCATCTTTGCATTAGGATATAGGAGAAGCATAGGCAAGGATAAATAATTAGCACCACAGAATCACAATGGACAAAGCAAAATGACGCTTGCATTAGTTTTCATTTCAGGTCTGAATTTTTAATCTCGTCTGCTTTGGACTAGGGGAAGGTTCTACTTCAATATTTTAAAAAATGCTATTCCCGCTTCCATACCATTGGACGCAATGCAAAGTAGCCGCTGACAAGTACACAGAATGACCATGTATCCGTTATCCTGGCCTTTCTGGACAAATACATAAATATATATATTTCCCAAACTTTCGCTTTATTGTTCTTGTTTGCCTGAATGGCTCATAAAAAACGATTTGTTTGATTGCTGTATTGTTTGACAAACAAAATCTTCCAAATTTAAATGAATCAATCATTATATTACGCAATGTTTTGGACAGCATTATTGCAATATTTATTAGTTTGCAATGTAAATAGACATAAAAAGTCATCTGACAGTACAACGGATAATCGTTAAAAGCCAAGCATTTGTTTAGCGAGTTTGCCTCATTCAGTGAGCATATCAAATAGAACAGTGGTTCCCACTATTTATTACCACAGCTTATGGCGACTCATCTAGTGATTTTCTACAATGTAATTTTATTTTTGATAAATGAACACAGAAGACCTCTTCCAAAAAAAAAAACATAGTATTATTAACTCTAAGGAATATAAATCTAAATCCTGTCTAAATTTCGGGGAAACACGGCAAGAAGTAAGAAGTGTTGTACAGTGTACAAAACTGCTATACACAAAAAGCCACATGGTCATTCTTTGTGTAGCAAATTTTTGTTCCTTTGAAAAGATCGTAAAACGGAAACTTTCACAGATTAGGATTTAATTCAATTTAATTTTTTTTTTTTTTTTAAGATTTACGTATTCGAGTCGCCACCGATCCTAATAGCCAGTATAACTAATCAAAGCTTTCTACATCATTTAACGACTCACTAAGATTCCTTTTGCGACCTACCAGTGGGTCGCGAACCATAGCTTGGGAACCGCTAAATAGAATATTTCAGGTTTATGTCAGAAGATAGAAATTGTGGGAAAAGCTGTTTATTTATCCGTATAGTTTATTCAGGTAGGACTTATAAATAATTGACGTTATAAAGACTTGGACTACTAATTTAATAGGAACGATGGCAAAGTGATATGATTAAACAAAGGTTAAAGCTCCAACAATTTACAAAAGACAGGAAGGGACAGTCGTCGAATGGTAAAAACGCGCTTCGTTAAGAGTCTAAAAATACGATCTGACATAAAGTCTACATTGGCTATATCAATATAAAATTTATCTTCTATAAACCAGTAAACAGGGTCAAAATTGAGTATTCAATAAAGTGTGTTCAATAAAACAAGCTACCATACTGATACAATATGCATCCAGGAGGGGAGTCTAGACTCGAATTCGAGTATCGTATTCATTATTAGTTCATGCATTTCATACGAACACCAGGATATACATTTCTAAAGCGTTACTTCAATACGCTTCGCTACACGAAAGCAAAGTAAATGTTTAAGCAAGTCATATTTATTGTTGTTCCTCTTTTTACTAGGTTAGGCTATGATTTGTTGGCTATGCCTTTACCACGTACGACGTAGTTACGTGAATTGGTGGATTTCCCGACCGCATTTGGTAAGATATTTTTATTCACAGCTTTTATGTACTAAGAAACAAAAGCCACTGGACAAGCACATGCAAATTTCTATTTTCAGCATCGATGGTAAAACTTAGTAGTGCAGTATATTGTACTAAATGACTAACAACTTAAGTTCTGTATTTTTCGTAGTTCGCCCATCCCTGTTTTACAACAACATGTCAAATATGTGATAATAACTTGTAATTCAGCGTTTTGAAACTTCAATAAAATATTGTTCATATTGATAATTAATTAAAATATACATACAGTTGGAAATTTTAAGACAAGACAACGAGACAAGAATTAAATAGGAAATCGATCCGACCGAGAGAATATGGCCAATAGGAAGCCAAAATGCCAAGAACAAGACAACCCAGCAATATACCCTGAGTGCGATCCTGTACAAGATTGCCCAGGAGATGATGAGGTACGTTTGACTGTACGCTCTACATTTGTCGCTTCAAAAATATGTGTACCTATATGGAGGTAACTAATTTTGTTCGATTACTTTACATCAAGTTGTGTGAGGGGACTGAAACCTATGGGCAGGATGATATTCTCTTGGCTAACACAGACATTCCTCGATCTTGTAAAGAAACCAAAATAAGGAAAATCGAAATGAAATTATGGCCTATCCCAAACGTGGTACACACACTACGGGTGTATCTTATATTTTTACGTTGCCTACTTGAGCATTGAGCAAGGCCTTGATATCTCACTTTCAAAAAACTAGCTTCTCGGGTTTGTGAATGAATATTTTCGATTTTCGTCTGTGTTATGATAGCAACAGGATATATCTAGTTTAACGGCGAGTGATGGCAGGCCCAGACCGACCAGTTAATCGACCAGTTAAACGACTAGTAAATTTAAACGACCAGTGTACGACTATAGTTGAATATACCGGCGACTAGTGTCACTTGTATCACATTTCTATAAACAATTTTTTGAAACCATATCGAATAAAAATTAACCGAAAGTTGCGAGTAAAATATACGAACACTTTTATATTTATTTTGTGGTGTTTTATACTTTGGGTTGAAACACTGTGTTTTAAAAAGAATTATGTTCAAGCCGCATCTTTGGGAATGGCATATTTATTTTGTAAAATCTCACTGAGCCGGTGGGCCAGTATTGGCTAAAGATATTCGTTTTTAGGATGTTACATTTTTATACGCTCTTCTTCATTCAGTAGTTCCTTTTTATCAACAAGCTGAAAATATTAACTAATTTTGAAAAGTTACGTCTCAAGTTCATTCGATGTTAAAAAACTTAGCGTTTTATTTATAATTAAATTAAGCTTTCAATTGGAAACTATGCATTCATCTAGTACTCACTGAATTATAGATACTATGACCGACCGAGTCAATTCAATATGACAGAGCCGAGGTCAAGCTCATCAAACATTTGCACTTGTCTTGTTCAATACAAAGGTAAAACACCAAAACAATACGTTAATAACAGTAGCTCCCAACATATATTGCGGAGTATACAGAAAACTGTATGGGAGAAAGGCGCTGTATAAAAAAAATTATTAAAAATGATAAAATTACAGGCTGTGGGGAGAAAAAATACAATGAAACAAGAACACAAAATAAACGAAGAATTACGGGATTTTCAAGAATATATTCGTTCCGTCCAAGAGCATAGAATATTTCAGCAGCATGAAAGCTATTTAACATCTGATGACAAAAGAGAAATTATAAATAAATGTTTTGATGTGATCCAGTTTCTCACTGAAATATCAGTAAGTTATCAACAATATTAATATTGTACAGGTTTATTTAACTTTGACTTATGTTCAGAGAAAATCTGTATACCTCCTTTGAAAAGATTGGATTCATTCTTTCATTTGTACAGTATATTAACATATAGATTATAGATTATTTACAAGTACTGCTTTTTATATCTTAATTACTAACTATCTATTCGTTGCATTCTGTCAGAGTTATACTAATAGTATTGGATATATAGCATTTTTAGATAAAGATCGTGGTGAATATACGAAACACTCGCTAATTTTATCTTCAATATCTTTAAATTCAATTTTACATAAAAAATTCTTTACTTATAAAAGCTAATAATTATCTCATAGAATGTCTTATATTTTCAGGAAAATTTCAACATTAAGCAATTACAGGCCAAAAGACTCGGATTTGAAGACTTTGTTTGTAGCGTACTACACAGATTACAACACAGAGCTCAGGTAACAATATTTAAATTTTAACAATTTGTTATAGATTGTATAACTCCTTGTTTATTTAGCCAACAAAAACCCATGTTTTGCCAAGCGTAGAAAAATGTGAGTTACGATTAAACTTTAGTCATATTAACTAATTTTTTACAGTAATTCCGAAAGAATGGTATTTACACAAGCGTGATTGCGCGGATCGTACTGTTGACTTGCCTTTAGATCTTATGTGATTAATCTAATGCCATAAAAATGAATATGGGACTATATTTAATTACCGTTTATCTACTGGGCATCATTCACAAAAAGGATTCAGACATAAGTTTAAATAGTTTATTATTTTAAATTACGAATATTGAACAAAAAAATTATTGTCTAAATATAACAGCTTGTAGGTGACAGAGAACAAGAAAATAAGCGCAATGAAGCTATTCAAAGTTTTCAGAAGTACATTCGTTCAGTTCAAACTTACGAAATATTTAAGAAATTAAAATCGTTATTGACACCTGATAACAAAGATGAAGTCAACAAAAGATGTCACGAATTAGACAAAATGCTCAGTGACAACCTGGTAGAGTATTTATTACTTGGATACAATTTTAAATCAAACAGATATACTGTTTTTACGTATCGAACGTATCGAATTTTGGAAATAAATTAGGTCACAATTATTTGCTTTCTTTCATCGTTATTATATCCTTAGTACAGTCAATCAAAAAACATGATTTATTTATCATATATATATATATATATATGTTCATGTTGTATAATCCAAGTATAATAAAACTAGTTTACATACAGAGAAAGCTCGATATTAAAGATATTGAGTCCGAAAGACGAGAACTCGATGATTTTATCAAGATTCTCATGAACAGTTTACAAAGTAAAGATCAGGTAATATATTCAAAAAAACGTACATTGACATTATGTCTAACGAAAAAAAATATAAATCAAACATTTTTCTGGGTTATTGATATGCAGTCTATTGTGGTGGAGTTTAAATACCAGATTTTATTGACGAAAAATTAGACGTTGGATAGCCCAGTAAAAATTTATGCCGGCAGATAGCTGGGAATTTTAAATAAATTTTGTTTCAACATGAGAGAAGAATCATGAACCCGAAGCCGGAGGTGGAGTCAGCTGCTGAATATTGATATTTAAACATTGCTCTTAAAATATTATCAGGAAGAGAAAGGAAGGCAAGAACAAGAGCTACGAGTTGTAATTCAAAGTTTTCGTAACTACATTCGTTCTGTCCAACAACATGAATTATTCAAACAGTATGAAAGGTTTATATCTCCAGAAGATCGAAACAAAATTAATAGAAAATGTGTTGCATTGGAGAAATTTCTAAATGACAAGGTCGTAAGTTTATTGCGTTATAAATTACTTACCAACTTGATCATGCCTCAAAATTGGGGACTCCCGTAGTGTGTGTACCAGATCACGGGTAGGCCATAATTTTATTTCGATTTTCCATATTTTAGCTCTATTACACGTTTGAGGACTGTCTGTGTTAGACAAGAGAATATGCCTCCTACCCATAGGTTTCAATCTCTTTACACAACATGGTGTAAAGTAGGCGAACAAAATTAGTTATCTTCATATTGGTACATACACTTCTGGGACGCCCAAAATTGTTCAGTAGATTTATTAATTTGTATTCTTATTGTTATCTACAGAAAGATTTCAAACTCCAACGGATACATAAAAAACAATCAAAACTCGAAAGTTTTGTTAATGATATGTTGAAAAGTCTGCAATATCAATCCCAGGTAAATTTTATGCTATTCATGCGAAATTTTTAAGTTTCGTCTAAACATTTAGTTAGTTTGTTATTAGTATAATTTTCATTTTGAGCAAATATTTTATTTATAAGTAACGTTGTTGATTGTTGCTTGGTTCTAAGTGTTATAAATACCCTCATGACCGTACCGTCTAACCACAACTTCAAAATAAATCCCCGAGTAATCATGCGGGACAAAAGATATGATATTTACATCTTTATTTGACCAGTTTACTTTCGTTTGCTGGTTGAAAACCTGAATGAAGATTCTAAGATTCACTATTAATCTTTGATTACATTTATAAACCAATAAACATTATTATATTATTGACACAGATCGCAGAACTAGGTATGGAAAGAAAAGAAGAACAGGAACAACATAAAGCAATTAGGGAATTTGAGCGATATGTTCATTCAGTTGAAACGCATTCTATATTCGGAGATTATCAAACGTTTTTGTCACCTGATGAAAAAGAAGCTATCAAAGTTGAATGCATCAGATCGAAGGAATTTCTTAGTTCAAATTCTGTGAGTTCGATTGTATAATTTGAAATTTTTCTCAGTTGGTTACATCTAATTCGGTAAAACAAACTATCTGGATTAAATATTCAAACTCGGTTCTCAAGCTTTATTACAATGTTTATCCTTAGGAAATTATAGAGGTAAAATCTACCCCTCTGTTATGTATACCGTCTATTCTTAGTGTGCTGTGATTGATCCACGAAAGCACAAAACTGGACTATTCTCTCCGTATTGGGAACATAATAAACATAAATTGCGTAAAAGAGTACTTTGCGATCTTCTATGTGGCCAACAGTAAATTTTACCAGTACTTTCTCGCTTGCAAAATTTACCCTCAATGTTGTTAAAATTTACCTCAGATGGAAGACCCCCTAGACTCAATTTTAATTTTAATTTTTCGTGGAGAAATGGATATTTGATAAACGTTTCTATTGCTAGGAAAAGCTTGACACCAAAAAAATACAGATCGAGAAAGAAAAATTTGCAAAGAACGTTGAAAGTGTTTTGGAGATACTACAACAGGCAAGTGCACTCAAATCGATGTTTTTCACAAATCTCAAATCTCTAACATTCTGGAATCTTTATTAGCAACTTCTTATTGTGTTGACATAATTGAAGGTCTCATCAGTGGCCACTCAAAGAATTGTAATTTCATTCATGCTGATTTTTACTCAACTGAACCATGTTCAGTTGAGTAAAAATCAGCATGAATGAAATTACAAGGCATCGAAAATTTATTCATCCGATTTCTTCATGCCAATAATTTTCTGAAGCCTGACTTTAATTAAACAAGAAAAAAATGTACGTACTTGTTATTTTGTAAATTATTTTGAAATCGACAGCTAGCAAAACTAGAGAAGCGAAGGCAACAAGCGCTAAACGAAGCGATGAAGAATTTCCAGCAGCATATTCAATCAGTTCAAAATCTTGAAGTATTTGCTGAATATGAAAAGTTTTTGTCGTTTGATGACAAAAAGAATGTCGATGATAAGTGTTTCGAATTAAACAAATTTTTGAGCACAAATCAGGCAAGTTTTACTTTATTTCATATAAGATATTTCATTATACATTTTAGAGCAAACATCCTTATCTTGATTAACTAATATATCTAATGCAAGTACTATGTTTATAAAAAAAAAATATTTTTATTGTTCCAATAACATCTTAATTTATCGAAGCTATATTGCTTATCCTGAAATAACTATGAAAAGAAAAAGTAAGATTAGAAACCAACTACAAATTGAATATCTAAGTTAGGAAAATAAAATATTGCATTTTCATTGATCTATCAACCCACCTTATCTTCAATGAAGGTTATTCTCCAAGCTATATTAAAAATATTGAAGTACTTACATAGAGGAAAAGTGAAATACAATTTGGAAATCATTTTAGGAAGATCTTGACATCAACCACTTGAAAGGGAAAAGATTGGAATTTGAGAAATTTGTTGCAAGTATGTTGAAATCTCTGAAGCAAAGACATGGGGTAAATAAAACTCTTACTGAATTTTGTGATAGAATTTTAGAACGATCAAATGTAGTAGTGGTCTAATTAGGCAGCACATAACTGGCTTCTCGTTACCTATCGATTTTAATCGGTAAATATGTTGATAGGTATTTGTCTGTCTGTCTGTCTGTTTGTTTGTCAGTTTGTCTGTCTGTTTTGTCAGTTTGTCTGTTAGATGCACGCGATATCTCACGAAAGCGAGATTGAATCTGCTCCAGATTTTGCATGTGCATTCATCATATCTCGGACCCGAAGCCTATTGATTTTGGACGAATTATGTCGTATAATTATCGAGTTATTAATTAATTAGTGATGGAAAACAAGGTGTCACTATGGAGTAAGAGCGCTGTTTTGGGGATCCCCTAACTTTCGATCGATAAGTCTTCGGTCTCTGACCGATATTCTCGTTTATCTATAATCTTGTTTTATCGTACCTGTATATACTGTGTATTGCAATATAACATTGAAAATATATTGCTCATATATGTTCTATTTGCATTTGAAAAAAATCAACGAAATAATAGTTATCGAGTGACCCGCCTCCTTCAAAAAACAGAAATCATACCTTTTTTAATTACTTTTACGAAAATGGAAGAAAATTCATTTAATAATATATATAGAACATGAACTTTTGTTTGTACAAAAATAGAATATGTTCTATTTTGGTCACCCTCTAAAATGAATTTTTGGACAAGTTGCAAAGCCACCAAAGGCTGTTAGTATATTCTCTCTAGTTGATTTAAAATGAGATCTAATCAAATCACAGTCTATTCGACCGTTATGCTCTCAAAACTAAAATTATGTAAAATTTATTGTCAATGAACTTCTTCGTAACTGCATTAACTTAAAATATTTTAAAGATCCTTCTAACCAAACATGTTATTGCGGAGCCTTCAATAATTTACGAGTTTTTTTGACCATGGAAATTGTTACTTTGGTCTGTTATTACCCTCTGAAAATGCGTCAAAAACTAGATTATCGAATAGACGTTTCATTATACTTTTATTATTGAGATATCGAGCAAAAGTAAATTTCAAATAAGCACCTAAAAATTCATTTTTCGATGCGTAAAACAGGCCATAGGAGCGGGAAAGCAACAGCAAGCAAATAAAGAAACAAAGCTGACCGGGGATCGTGATAATCTCATAAAATATCTAGATTCAATTCGGCAGATGTGTGAATCAGAACAAATTGCTGGAACTGAATATAAAGATACACTGAAGGCCTTATACAATGAAACTCAAGAATGGCTCCAATCTGAAGTGACTCGCAGCACTGCCCTAGATTATAGAAGAATTTTTTATGCTATATTTTATCATAATTCACTTCTATAGTTACTGGATACACATGTATTGGATATGCATCATATTTTCAGATTCTAGTTGTTGTTGTTTTTTGTATGTTATGTAGTTAACACTGAGATAAGTGTTGCTGTGTTTAAAAAAAAAATCTCTTTAGTTAGTTAGAAAGCCATTACATTTTTTTAAATACCAACTTTTGAAATTTCACTGAATGGATCTTTCTTTTTATTTCATTGAAATAAGAACTTTTTGTATTCTCTATTGGCCGACCAGCCTTGCAATGCTTGATTGAGCCCTCCGATCTTTTTAGCAAATTTTTAGCAGGCCTTACAATTGAGTGTACCGATGTGCGACATTCGTGTCAACATGTTCATGTCTCTTGTTTACTCTCATTCTTTAGTAAGCAGGATCTTTAGTATCGTCGTTTTCAAGATTCCAAATATGATAAATCGATTAATTATCAACGGTGAACACAATTAACTACTTTAACAGGAGATATCAGCAGAATCGATCCAAACTAAGCACGAGGAGTTGCAAGTTACTGTGCAGGAAATCAAACAAAGTATGAGCCAAATGAAACAGGTTTGTCAATCCTCTTATTTGAAGATATATTGTGAGACTTGGAACAATTCTTTATCTCTCTCTGACATATTATATTATTGTATGTACATTTTCATGAATAAATAAGTTGATTGTGGCTGGATGGTTTTTATGCGCATATCGGTGCTCGGAGTCGTTTTTCGTTTCTATTTGTATCGGACGTCTTCTGAATATCCAAGGCCCCTTAACATACTTTGACATATAGTTCTTCTAATGTTGATTGTTGTTCGATTTTTCATGCTATTCTCAATTATTGTTAGGTCTAATCACGTATTTTGCTGTTCAGTAACCTGTATTTCTTTTCCTTCAGCCCTAAATGCCATTTTTACTTTTTTGTACTCTTTATTCACAAAGTGTATTTATGTATGGTGGAAAAATAAATTGCTGACTAGTGGCATATATTTCCAAAGAAAAATGAAGCAGAAGAAAGTCTTCGACAAAAAGCATTCGACAACATGTGCAATTACATTGACGAAGTTCAAACAAAGATCGCAACTGATGAGGAAAACGATGAGTTTACGAGACCGCATATCAATAGGATTACAGAAAGCTGCGAAATAGTATTGGAGTGGGTTAAAAAAAATTATGTGAGTTCGAAATTTATACAATATGATATATAACACCCCTTAAAATAAGTGTGTGCTTTATCAACCACTCACGGTGAGTAATCTAAACAAAATATGGGAGATGGAAAAGCCACTCATATTTATTTTGTGTTAGCTTACTAAAACAAAATGGCGAGTTCCAACAAAAGAAAGTATAATACTTTTAAGAGTGACTTTTAAGCCACCTTTTAAGGACTTACGTTTACTCAACCGGAGTCATCAAAATAAACAAAATTAATGCATTGAAAGTTCAAACTGCCCTTATATCCACTCAATTTGTTATGGTTTATTAATCTATTTATGACTTGGAATCGACCTGTGACTTGACTTGCGACTTATGATTTGGCTGCGGCTGTGACCGTGTATTGCGCTGTGACACGTGCTTGAATTCTAACATTTGCTGCAACTTATACTTAAGTCGAAACTCAGGTGACTCAGAACTCGATTTGACTTTCGACTCGGGGTTGAGGACCTGACTCAACACTTGAAAACTACGGATATACTGATTGTTAATAGATGTTGGTGGATGCAACTCTTTAACGGAGAATCTATGGTTTTTTAAAATAGAAACACCTCAGTAGAAGTAATGCGGAAATTTTTGCGGATATTTCTATTTTGGTATTTATTATGACATTATTTGCTTAGCAGCTAATTTTATGCTATTGAAGTCTAACACTCGTTGTATACTTTCCAAGGATCGAATTACATCCGATACCATTATATCAGAGCAGCGTAATCTACGAACAACGATTGAGGATATTTATGATAAAATGCAAGCAAGTAAAATTGAGGTAAGATAAAAATATAGTAATTGCATTTGAAATTTTAATATAGAATTTACGTGCAACGAAGCTTGCAACTTTGGACGTATGTCGTTACATATAAATTAGAGTCACTCGCATATAATGCATAAAAATATCCTATTTTGCACACAAAATGAAGTTTACTCATTCTGGTTCTGAGTTTTCGTTTTTACATGTTTCACATTAATATATAGCACATGGGATGTGAGGCTGAATATGGGGTTTCAATTGAAAAATTTGAAAAGGGGATGCACTAGGTGCTAATACCAGAAAGAAAATTTCTGATTCGCAAAGCGGGAATGATTCAACTTACTTTTTCAAAAACGCGGTGTTTCTTTGTTTCAACTTTTTGATCTACCCCTTAATTTTTCAGGCAGAAGAAATATTTCGACAGCAAGCCCTAACTGCTGTACATGATTACATTGACGATGTTCGTAAAAGTCTGGAAGCTGAAAGAGAAACGGACAAAACAATCGTCCAGTGCATTGATACAATATACAAGCATTGCACGAATGTATTCAAATGGACTAATGAAAATTATGTAAGTCAGTCGCGCAAGGAAATTCGACTCACGGTGACCAAGTGAACTGGTCGATTAAGTACACCGTATTTTACACCGATGCGTAGTAATCGACATCCTAGAGCTTTCTATGTAGGCGTACTTTTTAGCTTCATCAAATCCTAAGTTTGGGCTATGTAACAGAAAGTGTACTGAATTTCGTTGGTCCAAATTGAACGCATTATCACTGTAATTATTCCGTCCCATTCAAAACCTACAAAAAGATATGATTCAGTTGACAAATTACTTTATTTATAATATCGATATTAAATTGTTTTCAGCATCAAATCACTGGCGGAAGAATTTTATCAGAATTTGATAACTTACAGAAAAATGTCAATGATATTTTTAATGTGTTACAAGCCAGAAAAATAGAGGTGAGATTTTCCTATCTATGGTATTTGAATGTATTGCACCATACCTGCATATTTACGAGAGCAGTAATTTTGTGCGAAAACCTCAATTTCCGAATATAGGTTTAAAGATTTATGACCAGAAGTAATTCAATTTCATGGTACGTTCTGGGTCAAGATAGGTGTAAAACTAAGAAAGTACTTACCGTAGAGCCGAGTAAAGACAGTCGAATTTATATCAAAATATTATCTGATTTGAAAAATGCACTCAAGCTAAATTGATCGCAGAGACGGAAAAAGAACAATATGACCATATTTTATTTACGAAAATAATTGCATATCTTTTTTTGACCGATTGCAATATTCATCAGTAATTAGTATTTTTTAACTACGCCATAAAGAGTTAAACAATGGCAAATTATGCAAACAACATGGGGGTAATTAATAACTATTGATTGAATGTGACTTTACACTTATAAAACTCTATCTCAAATATCCCATATTGCAAAGACTTTTACTAAATTGTTTTAGTTGTATTTATATCAACTAGCCATTTTAGGTAAATACTTAATAAAATTTAATTTTGGGAAAGGTTGAAGCTGAGCGTGAACGACAGCGAGCAGAAACGATTAGAAAACGCGCAGATGTAATCAACAATCTCCGAGCATACATTTCTGATGTCAAATCGCTGGTTGTATTTGAAAATTTTAAGAACAGATTTGCTGAAGAAGATTTGAGATTAATATTTGGCCAATGTGACATTGCAGAAAGACATATTAAGGTGAATATCGCGTTATTGTTTCATCTCAGACTTCACTATGACATCGCATTATACGAACAGCTGGTACCTAGTAAGTAGTTCGAGGACGTGACTATTGTATCGCAGGTTAAAATTTCGATTAAAATGCCAGATCATTCATCTGGCCCAGGGTGTAATAAATTGGGCAGTAAATGCCTGAACTGTAAAGATATTGACCCTGTGTAAATAGTAGCTCTTCCCGCAACTGCCTGTACATGGAAAGTGTTCATTATGAAAGTGTGAAAATTTTATATAATCAAAATTAATATGAAACATCTCTATCTTAGTACCAAGCATAGAACAAATATTCTACCCCAACGATACTTTAAATTCAGCAGTTTTGTAAACGTTTGCTCGCATCATATAATTGATTAATTTGGTTTTCAGGAGAATTCAGATACGAACCAACTAGAAGTCCAATATTCAGATCTACGTAAACTAACTGAACACGTGTACAAAAAGTTGGAACAAATTGACGCGGTGAGATGATTTATTTAGAAATTTATTCCATTTTGAAGTTTGAATTCGAAACTTCCTACATTTAAGTTTTGTTATAGCAATTTCACTCTTCCTATACGTGTTTAGTACTTTTAGTATTATAACGTTATCTCGTCCAAGTACACATGTGATAAAATACAGACCATATTCCATAAATTATTATTTTTTCAACCATTACTGATTATGAATATTGAATGTTTATAGTTAGAAAAAGCTGAGTTGGCAAAGAGGCAAGCCGAAGAACGCAGAAAGAAATCTGAATTGTCTCAAAAACTGAAGAGTTACATCGACCGTGCCCGACGTCTTATTGTGTTTGAACCTCTCACGCATAGATTGACGAAAAGTGATAAAGCCAAAATTCATTCTGAATGCATCAAAGCTGACCATTTCTTGCTTGCGGTGAGTGAACATAGTTGGTTAAATTTTTAAAATCTTTAAAACGCTTAGGAATAATTTTGTGAAGTTTAGCACATCCCATACGTGCATTAGAATATAATAGTTTTTTGTTCATCATGGTGCAGAAGCCCAATTATATTACTAGTTATCCAACAAATGCTGATTTTGATTAATAAACTAACGTTATTAAAGTCTCCGACACACAAAATCATTCAATTAACAAACTTAGGCGGCTACCAACTAGTTTACGAAATATGTCAATCTAATTATCGACTGACTGCATCAACAGCCTGAGGACAGCCTATACAAATTCCCTCTTATTGTTTGCTCGCTTAGAGCTGTGTTTCAATATTAAACCCTACCAGTAGTGGCAAAAGTGTGAGGGAATTAACAAAATTAAATCATGATTTCATGGTGACTCAAATTTTTTTTTTCTATTGTGGAATATATCAAAACATTTATTTTATTTACAGGAAAACCTAACCTCCTTTGAAAGTGAAAGAAAGCGTAAGGAACTAGAGGAATTGGTTCAAAATATTTACAAAAAGTTGAAAACGAGGGAAGAGGTATTTGATCTAATTGTTGCTTGTCTGCTTAAATGAGGCTATGATTTTTTTTATTAGGTAATTAATCTAGAAAAAAAGATTTCCTTTGAACCCTCATGACGTGAAATCTACAACCAAATTTCAGCATTTACGACAGTATGAATTGTTGAACCTTTGCTTCTCTAAGTTCAACGTATGTTTTACATTTGAAATGACGTAGGGGCTTGATGTTTACGATGATAATCTGGAATTGGTACGTTGCATTATCCACTAGTTCTATAATACCATCTAGCTATGTCCTGACAATGTTGACTCAAAGTCGCTTTAACTGATCTCTGTCCCAAAAATAAACATACGTGTAGCTTCTAACGTCAGTACATAAAAATATTATTTAGATGACAATTTGTTAAAACATTTTGAACATTTTAGATTGCAAACAAATGCAAAGATGATCTAGTAGAATGGAACAAAGCAGAAGGAGATTTATGCAATCGTATAAATTACTGGAAACAATTTGTAACTCGCAACAGAAGGAAAGATAAACTAACGGACAAGTATTTGAATAGAATAGTTGAGATATGCACGGATGCAGAACAATGGCTTCTGGTTTCCTATGTATGTATAGTTTGAGTCATTTATTCTTTAAATGACATTACACTATTGTATCAAACGCGCAAGATTTCTAAACCTTTTTAGCGAAGACAACAGGAAAGTTTTTTTTATTTTCAGCAAAAGATTTCACGTAACGAACTCATTGATAAACGTTTCAGTTTAGAAACCGATGCCTGTAATATCTGGAAAAGTCTGCAAGATGAGAAACAGGTGAAAATGAACCACACAAATGTATTATTCTATTTTTTTGACAATATGATATTTATAAGAGATATAATAGATATAAAAGATATTTTAGATTCTTTTTGATTTGTATCAATTTATGCGCTCCCTGCGCTCAGTTTATTGTGAAATCCGTTTCAATTCAAACAAATTTAAAGCATATTGCCTATAAGTATATATAATTTCATAAGGTAAATAAGTAGATGAAGAGTAAAATATAGGATTTTAAAAAAATCTCGCTCGAATAATATTTCTTTTGCAAAATAACGAACCAATGTTGAAAATGCTTGCTAGTACTTACTGATTAGTCTTTGTTGCAATAATGAACAAAAAGTCGATGCCCGGAGAAACAACTAAATGAATAAAACTAAAAAAGAACTTCATACACGATGCGTCCTAAACAACTTGATTGTTTGTTATTTAATAAAATATTTGTTTCAGCAGTCTGGAGACGACATTGAGGAACAAAAAATTAGTAGTAATTACTTATCGATCTTAAGATCGGTAAGTATATTGATAGGTATTTGTCTGTATGTATGTCTGTCGGTGTGTCTGTTAGATGCACGCGATATCTCACGAAAGCGAGATTGAATCTGCTCCAGATTTTGCATGTGCATTCATCTTATCTCGGACCAGAAGCCTATTGATTTTGGGCGAATTATGTCGTATAATTAGCGAGTTATCAATCAATTATTGATATAGCGATCTAGATTTTTGTGAAGCGAGAGAATTTTGAAACCCGCCGAGTGTGTGTGTGCGATGCGCAGTGCGCAAGTTACAAGAGCGGATGAATCGAAACTGCAGTTTCTGTTTTGGGGGATCCCCTAACTATCGATCGATAAGTCTTCGGTTTCCAACCGATATTCTCGTTTAATACATTAGTATTTAATAAATTAGTATTAGTAATTTAATACAACCACGTAGAAAATAGAATTGAAATTTGTTATTCGCTGCCAAGTTGGCTCTTCTATTCTTAAGATTAGTCGCTGCTCATGTCAGACTCGCTGCTTATAAAGGCCATAATGCGAGCAAACATATGGGATTTTGATGATGACCGTAAAATATTTGGCTAAAAGCAATGTTTCTCAAATTGTAGTTAGAGCCTCCCTGTGGTCGCCGAGCGGTTTTCTGAGTGCTACCAAACAAACGTTAGGTTATCTTGCGACACATAAAATTTGATGGGAATGCGTTAAAGCACAACTTTGTATTTTATAGTAGATTATTTTGGATACATGATAAGCGATGGATTTGAGGGATTAGCAATAAGCGTGGGTTCGCGCAAACCGTTTCTGGGATGTTGTGATATCAGCGAATAGCATCTTGTTTCTTGTTTTTGACACACTACCGAAGCAACTAGGTTACGTGCAGCGCGGCTGACACCCAACGTTTTATTTAGCGTTTTTGTGGTTATGTTTTCTATTGATGTAAAACGTGTCATGTTAATGTAGCTAACGTAGTGACATGAATATATTTTCTGAAATGTTGGGAACCTGTTATTAATGAGTTTGATTTTAATAAGAACCCGTTCTACAAATTTTGAATATCTCCACTAGTGATAGATCTGAAATGCGGGAGGAAAATTCATTGTATATTCTTATTTGCTCTCACTTTCACAGACACAAGCAATATTACAAATATATTTCCCAGCAGTCGGAATTTTTTGTTGAAAAAGCAAAACAGAATTTATCACTGTATTAACAATAATTACTTTTCTCTCAATTTCTATGATATTATTTGATATTTACAATAAAAAGTAATTTGATTTCAAACATCATTTTGATTTTTTTACAGAATGACGACTTTGGGAGATCACCTGATACAAGATATTTCTCACACGTAAGACTTGCTTCTATTATTTTCTATTTATACCACCTAAAATGAAATCTTAAAGGGTAATTTTGTTGTTCCAGATTGCTTTTATTTTACATACTGAAGTATGTTACTGGAAACGCTGTATACAAACCCTAGGATAGGTTTCATGTTTAATATGGGAATATATGCCAATTGATTGTTCCAGAAGCGTAGGATATTGTTCCAAATTAATTAAATAAATTTTTTTCCTAACCTATTACGTATAAAGTATCTGGCCAATACTATGTATTATCAAAATATTCCATGTCATATATAAATAAAAAAGGATGTATGTATATCCATCATATGTTTTGGGTACGTAATGCCACATTCACTTTCAGGAATACAGACACAAAAGTAAAAGGAAAGATCTTAATGATTGATTCCCAATTGAATTTATTTTTTTTCGGAGTATATTAAGGAATGTCGTTTACAAAGTTAATAGGACGAGATAGCTTTTCAGGTCTCGTATGAGAATAAATTACCAGTTAATTGTTGCACACGCTCAGGATATTGGGAAGATTTGATTTTGTTTCAGATTGAAGGAATGTTTTTCCCCCAGCGTAATACATGAAAGCGCCAAATACTATTTAATGTCAATATAGTCTATTTTCCTATTTTAGGCAAATATATAGCTATCATGTAATTTGAGAGCTTGAGGCCGCACGTGGAATCCTTTTGTATTTTCTCATACTTTTGCAGCCAGAAGATAGCATAACAGCTCTTTTAAAATTTGCACGACTTGCTAGAAGAAAAATTCACAGCCATGTTTATAAAACCCAAATTCCGGATTCCGACAGAAACAAAATAATATCCAAATACAATGAAGTCATCGAAAGAGTATGGGTGAGTACTTTTATTTAACTTGCTGATGAAGGTTACGTGAATTAGTAGTATAAAGTGCGAAAAGTCACTGTTCATCTTCAAATCAGATGTTTGGGTTAAATTTTCCTTTATTGTACAGTTTTAGCTTGTTAGTATGCCCTGATTGCCCTCATTGTTTATTATACTTGATCCGATGTAAACTTCTAATTTTTATACAATGCCCAATCTGGCCTCTCGCTCAGTACAAAATACCATTGATATCTCACGATATTTATGAGTTTACTGTTATTTCGAAGGTTCGCTGATATTATTGTTATTATTATGTGCTGCAATTGCTTGCAGGATTTGAAGCGTCCGCAGTCGGAAACTATTTACCATTTATTTTTTATTTAGACCAAAGAGAGGGCAGAAATAGAACTAATGGAATTCAAGCAACTTTGCATAAAGGTTTTCAAAGCAGTTGACGAAAAGGCTGACCCTCAACGCATTGACATTGAAAGACGCTGGTACTACTGAACGAGAACGACAACAAAATTGAATAATTCGGCTTTGTATTATCTTGCTAACTTCACAGAAAAATAACTAATATTTATACCATTAAGATATATCATCTATGTTTGTTTCAGTTCCAATATATCTGTATATAATCAGTCAAATTCTAGTATATATAATATATATACATCTTTATTATCAGTATTTTCTACCATATTTTAACGTGATTTTGACAATTTGCTCCCTTTGGAAATATTTGCTTTTCATTTATCACTAACATCTTTCAACTCGACTTCTAACATTTTTGTTAGAGATGTAACAATAAATATATTATAATAATTATTAATGATAAAGTGTATTTCAATAAAGTATAGAAGTTCCATTTTTTGAGAGGGGAAGAACCAAAGAATATTGACGATATTGAACGAATTGCATTTTTAGATTTCTATATCGCTAATATAAAAATAAAATATTGACACTGCCAAAAAAGATCAGTAACTAAAAAATTAATAACTGCTGAAACGAAACACGGTTTATTGGTAGATACGTAAATGGTCGTGTGTCGGTTTATCGGTAATTAAAATGGATTTTAATTCCTGAACTTGAACAAAATAGATTCCGAACAGGAAGCAATATTTATTACGAATAGCTATTGCTATGTCGAGAGAATGTATGCAATTTTTCGTAGAATCCTCACGGAAGTATCAGTTATTTTGAAAGACTAGATCACGTATCCGTAAGCCTGATTTTTTAGGTTTCACGTCAAGTGAAGTGAATGGACCCGGGTACCACATATTGAATTGTATTGCAACGGGCAGCTTCTAGCATTTTGCTTTTTTCAAGTTACATGTGAAAAGTAATAATGCAATTAGTCGATTTTGTCATCAATTTCAAAAACCAGCTAGACCAAAGCAATTTTATACCGACAAATGTGCGGTGAGTAATGCGAATCGAAAAGTAGATCAATGTTTCCCAAAACTGTATTTAACCTGGCGCATATTGTTCGTTATAAAGTCTTGTGTATGTGACAAATATTGAATACTGGCAATACCTAATCGTTCATTTTGACGAAACTTATTTAGTGCAGAGTGGCCAGAATTCACAAATCATTATCATGTTGCATAATACTGTTTGAAGGGCACACAGCTGTCGGATCACGAAGTCTACATTATAATTATACCTTGATGTCCTGACTTCCGTTACCGGTACCCTGATACAGGTGCGGGTAAGTAACCGCACAAGGCATCGAAAATTTATTCATCCGATTTCTTCATGCCAATAATTTTCTGAAGCCTGACTTTAATTAAACAAGAAAAAAATGTACGTACTTGTTATTTTGTAAATTATTTTGAAATCGACAGCTAGCAAAACTAGAGAAGCGAAGGCAACAAGCGCTAAACGAAGCGATGAAGAATTTTCAGCAGCATATTCAATCAGTTCAAAATCTTGAAGTATTTGCTGAATATGAAAAGTTTTTGTCGTTTGATGACAAAAAGGATGTCGATGATAAGTGTTTCGATTTAAACAAATTTTTGAGCACAAATCCGGCAAGTTTTACTTTATTTCATATAAGATATTTCATTATACATTTTAGAGCAAACATCCTTATCTTGATTAACTAATATATCTAATGCAAGTACTATGTTTATAAAAAAAAAATATTATTATTGTTCCAATAACATCTTAATTTATCGAAGCTATATTGCTTATCCTGAAATAACTATGAAAAGAAAAAGTAAGATTAGAAACCAACTACAAATTGAATATCTAAGTTAGGAAAATAAAATATTGCATTTTCATTGATCTATCAACCCACCTTATCTTCAATGAAGGTTATTCTCCAAGCTATATTAAAAATATTGAAGTACTTACATAGAGGAAAAGTGAAATACAATTTGGAAATCATTTTAGGAAGATCTTGACATCAACCACTTGAAAAGGAAAAGATTGGAATTTGAGAAATTTGTTGCAAGTATGTTGAAATCTCTGAAGCAAAGACATGGGGTAAATAAAACTCTTACTGAATTTTGTGATAGAATTTTAGAACGATCAAATGTAGTAGTGGTCTAATTAGGCAGCACATAACTGGCTTCTCGTTACCTATCGATTTTAATCGGTAAATATGTTGATAGGTATTTGTCTGTCTGTCTGTCTGTTTGTTTGTCAGTTTGTCTGTCTGTCTGTTTGTTTGTCAGTTTGTCTGTTAGATGCACGCGATATCTCACGAAAGCCAGATTGAATCTGCTCCAGATTTTGCATGTGCATTCATCATATCTCGGACCAGAAGCCTATTGATTTTGGACGAATTATGTCGTATAATTAGCGAGTTATTAATTAATTAGTGATGGAAAACAAGGTGTCACTATGGAGTAAGAGCGCTGTTTTGGGGATCCCCTAACTTTCGATCGATAAGTCTTCGGTCTCTGACCGATATTCTCGTTTATCTATAATCTTGTTTTATCGTACCTGTATATACTGTGTATTGCAATATAACATTGAAAATATATTGCTCATATATGTTCTATTTTGCATTTGAAAAAAATCAACGAAATAATAGTTATCGAGTGACCCGCCTCCTTCAAAAAACAGAAATCATACCTTTTTTAATTACTTTTACGAAAATGGAAGAAAATTCATTTAATAATATATATAGAACATGAACTTTTGTTTGTACAAAAATAGAATATGTTCTATTTTGGTCACCCTCTAAAATGAATTTTTGGACAAGTTGCAAAGCCACCAAAGGCTGTTAGTATATTCTCTCTAGTTGATTTAAAATGAGATCTAATCAAATCACAGTCTATTCGACCGTTATGCTCTCAAAACTAAAATTATGTAAAATTTATTGTCAATGAACTTCTTCGTAACTGCATTAACTTAAAATATTTTTAAGATCTATCTAACCAAACATGTGATTGCGGAGCCTTCAATAATTTACGAGTTTTTTGACCATGGAAATTGTTACTTTGGTCTGTTATTACCCTCTGAAATGCGTCAAAAACTAGATTATCGAATAGACGTTTCATTATACTTTTATTATTGAGATATCGAGCAAAAGTAAATTTCAAATAAAACACCTAAAAATTCATTTTTCGATGCGTAAAACAGGCCATAGGAGCGGGAAAGCAACAGCAAGCAAATAAAGAAACAAAGCTGACCGTGGATCGTGATAATCTCATAAAATATCTAGATTCAATTTGGCAGATGTGTGAATCAGAACAAATTGCTGGAACTGAATATAAAGATACGCTGAAGGCCTTATACAATGAAACTCAAGAATGGCTCCAATCTGAAGTGACTCACAGCATTGCCCTAGATTATAGAAGAATTTTTCATGCTATATTTTATCATAATTCACTTCTATAGTTACTGGATACATATGTATTAGATATGCATCATATTTTCCGATTCTAGTTGTTGTTGTTTTTTGTATGTTATGTAGTTAACACTGAGATAAGTGTTGCTGTGTTTAAAAAAAATCTCTTTAGTTAGTTAGAAAGCCATTACATTTTTTTAAATACCAACTTTTGAAATTTCACTGAATGGATCTTTCTTTTTATTTTAATGAAATAAGAACTTTTTGTATTCTCTATTTCCCGACCAGCCTTGCAATGCTTGATTGAGCCCTCCGATCTTTTTAGCAAATTTTTAGCAGGCCTTACAATTGAGTGTACCGATGTGCGACATTCGTGTCAACATGTTCATGTCTCTTGTTTACTCTCATTCTTTAGTGAGCAGGATCTTTAGTATCGTCGTTTTCAAGATTCCAAATATGATAAATTGATTAATTATCAACGGTGAACACAATTAACTACTTTAACAGGAGATATCAGCAGAATCGATCCAAACTAAGCACGAGGAGTTGCAAGTTACTGTGCAAGAAATCAAACAAAGTATAAGCAAAATGAAACAGGTGAGTCAATCCTCTTATTTGAAGATATATTGTGAGACTTGGAACAATTCTTTATCTCTGACATATTATATTATTGTATGTACATTTTCATGGATAAATAAGTTGATTGTGGCTGGATGGTTTTTATGCGCATATCGGTGCTCGGATTCGTTTTTATTTGTATCGGACGTCTTCTGGATATCCAAGGCCCCTCAACAAAATTTGACATATACTTTTTTTAATGTTGATTGTTGTTCGATTTTTTATGCTATTCTCAATTATTGTTAGGTCTAATCACGTATTTTGCTCAGTAACCTGTATTTCTTTTCCTGCAGCCCTAAATGCCATTTTTACTTTTTTGTACTCTTTATTTACAAAGTGTATTTATGTATGGTGGAAAAATAAATTGCTGACTAGTGACATATATTTCCAAAGAAAAAAGAAGAAGAAGAAAATCTTCGACAAAAAGCATTCGACAATATGTGCAATTACATCGACGAAGTTCAAACAAAGATCGCAACTGATGAGGAAAACGATGAGTTTACGAGACCGCATATCAATATGATTACAGAAAGCTGCGAAATAGTATTGGAGTGGGTTAAAAAAAATTATGTGAGTTTGAAATTTATACAATATGATATATAACACCTCTTAAAATAAAATGGTGCTTGGCTTAGACTTTGGTCACCTTTATCAAATACTCACGGTAAGTAATCTAAACAAAATATGGAAGATGGAAAAGCCACTCATATTTATTTTGTGTTAGTTTACTAAAACAAAATAGCGAGTTTCAACAAAGAAAATATAATAATTTTAAGAGTAGCTTTTAAGCCACCTTTTAAGGACTTACGTTTACTCGACTTGAGTCATCAGAATAAACGAAATTAATGTTTTGAAAGTTCAAAGTGCCCTTATATCCACTCATTTTATTATTGTTTATTTATCTATTTATGACTTGGAATCGACTTGCGCTTGACTTGCGACTTGTGATTTGGCTGCGGCTGTGACCGTGTATTGCGCTGTGACACGTGCTTGAATTCTAACATTTGCTGCAACTTATACTTAAGTCGAAACTCAGGTGACTCAGAACTCGATTTGACTTTCGCCTCGGGGTTGAGGACCTGACTCAACACTTGAAAACTACGGATATACTGATTGTTAATAGATGTTGGTGGATGCAACTCTTTAACGGAGAATCTATGGTTTTTTAAAATAGAAACACCTCAGTAGAAGTAATGCGGAAATTTTTGCGGATATTTCTATTTTGGTATTTATTATGACATTATTTGCTTAGCAGCTAATTTTATGCTATTGAAGTCTAACACTCGTCGTATACTTTCCAAGGATCGAATTACATCCGATACCATTATATCAGAGCAGCGTAATCTACGAACAACGATTGAGGATATTTATGATAAAATGCAAGCAAGCAAAATTGAGGTAGGATAAAAATATAGTAATTGCATTTGAAATTTTAATATAGAATTTACGTGCAACGAAGCTTGCAACTTTGGACGTATGTCGTTACGTATAAATTAGAGTCACTCGCATATAATGCATAAAAATACCCTATTTTGCACAAAAAATGAAGTTTACTCATTCTGGTTCTGAGTTTTCGTTTTTACATGTTTCACATTAATATATAGCACATGGGATGTGAGGCTGAATATGGGGTTTCAATTGAAAAATTTGAAAAGGGGATGCACTAGGTGCTAATACCAGAAAGAAAATTTCTGATTCGCAAAGCGGGAATGATTCAATATTACTTTTTCAAAAACGCGGTGTTTCTTTGTTTCACCTTTTTGATCTACCCCTTCATTTTTCAGGCAGAAGAAAAATTTCGACAGCAAGCCCTAACTGCTGTACATGATTACATTGACGATGTTTGTAAAAGTCTGGAAGCTGAAAGAGAAACGGACAAAACAATCGTCCAGTGCATAGATACAATATACAAGCAATGCACGAATGTATTCAAATGGACTAATGAAAATTACGTAAGTCAGTCGCGCAAGGAAATTCGACTCACGGTGACCAAGTGAACTGGTCGATTAAGTACACCGTATTTTACACCGATTCGTAGTAATCGACATCCTAGAGCTTTCTATGTAGGCGTACTTTTTAGCTTCATCAAATTCTGAAAGTGTAGAAACAGAAAGTGTACTGAATTTCGTTGGTTCAAATTGAACGCATTATCACTGTAATTATTCCGTCCCATTCAAAACCTACAAAAAGATATGATTCAGTTGACAAATTACTTTATTTATAATATCGATATTAAATTGTTTTCAGCATCAAATCACTTGCGGAAGCATTTTATCAGAATTTGATAACTTACAGAAAAATGTCAATGATATTTTTAATGTGTTACAAGCCAGAAAAATAGAGGTGAGATTTTCCTATCTATGGTATTTGAATGTCTTGCACCATGCCTGCAATTTTGTGCGAAAGCTTTATTTGCGAATATATGTTTTGATAATTTCGGCTCAAAATAAATTATATTTGTGTGTTCTGGGTTAAATAAGTGTAAAACTGGGAAGACGTTTACATGTTTTAAACTGGTAGCAATGACGGAAATACAGCAATAACATATTTCATCCATTGAAAGAATGGTACATCTTTTTTTCTGAATTGAATTATATATCAGTAAATATTATTTTTTTCTGTATTTCTAAGTACACCATAGATAGGTAAGCAAGAGCAAATTATTCAAAACAATGGTAATCATTAATATGTAAACTTATTGCTCGCATGCGACTTTTTTTTTACAAATCCCCATCTCAAATATTGCGATGACTTACAATTACAATCGTTTTTTATTTATATTAACTGGTCATTTCATGTAAAAACTCTATTAAATTTAATTTTGGAAAAAGTCGAAGCTGAGCGTGAACAACAGCGAGTAGAAGCGATTAGAAAACGCGCTGGAGTAATCAACAATCTCCGAGCATACATTTCTGATGCCAGGTCGCTGGTTGTATTCAAACAGTTCAGGAACAGATTGACTGAAGGAGATTTGGGGTTAATATTTGGCCAATGTGACATTGCAGAAAGACACATCGAGGTAAATATCGCGTTATTGTTTCATCTCAGACGTTGACTTCGCAGTTTACAAGCAGTTGTTACCTAGTAATTAGAAGACTTTACTATGAATCGCAAGATAAAATCTCGACTAAAATGCAATACTATCCATTAGTTCAGGTTGTAATAAATTGGATAGCATGCAAATAATCCCCAAAACAGTACAACTATCTGTACAAGAAAGAAGTCATGGTGAAAGTGTGAAATATTTATATACCTAAAAGTAATATGTAACCAGGCATGAAACAAATACGATACTCTAAAGTAAACTCAGCAATTTGGTAAAACAGTTGCTCACATTATATAATTGATTTATTTGGTTTTTGTTGTTCAGGAAAATTCAGATACGAACCAACTAGAAGTCCAATACTCAGATCTGTGTAATCTAATTGAACATGTGTACAAAAAGTTGGAACGAATTGACACGGTGGGGTGATTTATTTTGAAATGTATTTCATTTCGGTGCTTGCTACATTTAAGTTGAGGCAGTTTTACTTTTCTTAAACCTGTTTGTTACCTTTAATATTATAACTTTAATATTATTTAAGACAATATATCAAAAAATTGAACATTTTTCAACCATTACTGATAATGAATATTGAACATTTCTAGTTAGAAAAAGCTGAGTTGGCAAAGAGGCAAGCCGAAGAGCGAAGGAAGAAAGCTGAAATGTCTCAAAAATTAAAGAATTACATCGACCGTGTCCAATGTTTTACTGTGTTTGAACCTCTTACGAATAGATTGACAAAAACTGATGAAACCAACATTCAACATGAATGCATCAAAGCAAATCGGTTCTTAATTAATAGCGGTGAGTCAACGTAACTGGATTTTGAACGTAATTTTGTGACGTATAAAGCGGGCTATACTATACATACCACCATATTGTTTTTGCATTATTTCGAAATATATTTTATAACCAGTATAGCTAAACATCGGCTTTTCAATTTTTATGTCAAAAAATATAGTTATTATTAGGATCAATAATGTTCAATCAATTTCAAATGACATATTTCGTTTTGAAGGTGAAGGCCCGAATTCCGACATTCATTAATTCGACCGTATTTAGCATTTTTGACCATGTAAAGTGTAATATTTTGGACACAAATTATTATTCTGATTAAAAAATTAAATAAATATTAGATTTAGAAAAATTTCAACCCGCTTAAATGTGGAACAAGTTTTCAATTTTAAAAAACAACTAAAAATTGAAATATGATAATGCAAAATTAAATATCGAGGCTTTCAGCCTGTCTTGCGTAATGGAAAATACGGCCCTGACTGTGCACATATCTTGATTTTAAAAAATCTACGAGCATTTGCACAACGTTGAGAGAATTTGAACAAAACTAACTTAAATTTGGCGGTGGCTCAATTATTTTTAAGTCTACTGAGGACGAGTTTTTATCAAATATATCATTGCATTTATTTTATTTACAGGAAAATTTGACTTCCATTGAAATTGAAAGAAAGCGTAAGGAACTAGAGGGATGGGTTCAAAGTATTTACAAAAAGTTAAAAACGAAAGAAGAGGTGATTGCTCTGTTTATTTTTCTAATGAATCTCAGGCTGTTTTATAATATATATTCGACCCAAAAAATGGTTTTGGTCGTTTAATTTACAACTGAATTTTATCAACCACAAACATTTGAGTTGTTGAACTTTTATCGTCTCAAAATCCACATGTTCATAACATTTGAAATGTTTCTTTTGAGCTTTTATTTCGCTTTGAACACGGCTATACACAACACCCTTTTGGACAAGCTGAGTTTAAAGAACTAGCTTTTTGGTATCCTATTATTCTCTGATTGAAATGCTGGATGGTTTTATGTAATTGCCCTAATATCTAGCTGTGTTATGGTCTATGCTGACTTAAGTTTTTTCGAGTCGGGTTGTACCTATGGACCCCAATCCTTGAAAAGAACCATCGGCTCTTAGTGCATCAGTGGTGGCATGTAACTCTCCCATCAGTAGGTCATTGTTTTGGTGAGGCGCAAGTATAACATTGTATACAATAATGACGCACTGAGAGCTGACAGGGCGCTGAGTTTAGTAATTATTTTTAAACATTTTAGATAGCAAATAAATGCAAGTATGATCAACTAAAATGGAACAAAGCAGAGGAAAGTTTATCTAGATGTATAAAAACTTGGAAACATTTTGTAACTCGAAATATAGGAAAAGATAAAATGACTGATGAATACTTGGAAAAAATATTCCAAAAATGCTCGGATGCTGAAAAATGGCTCATGATTCCCTACGTATGTACAATACACGATATACTTTCTAATATAAATTCTTCCAATTTATGTGTTAATTGTATCAATATTTAACTCACATAGCGATATTGTTGGTTGTACACGTTCAAGAAAAGCAGATACATTTTATTTTCTAGCAAAAGATGTCATTGAGACAACTTAGAGATGAATGTAAGAACTTAGAAACAGCGGTTTCAGATATCTTGAAAAGTCTGAAAGCTGACAAACAGGTGGAAACTAAATCATAATAGTTCTGTAAATATGATAATTGCAACTTTTTATGATATAGATTTTATGTAGAAATGCTTACTCATACTGGGTTCAGTCATTTTGTTGATAAACCATTTTACGGCCAACTTAATTACTGTATACTGTAAATATGAAGTTTCGTTTTATAATTACTTCTCATGAACGTTTGTTTTAGATTTATTGATCGAATACATATGAGAAGATCATGCGACCAACTTTTCCATTGTAACACCTTAATCAGATCAGGAGAGATAGACAATGCCAATTTTTTTTAATTAAAATAATGCGCATTTACAAACGTTTTTTGTTCAACAGAAACGTAATCAAGATATAATCAAAGCAGTCGAGGAATGTCGAATGTTTATCAGTCGTGTGAGATCTTTTGAAGTTTTGGGGGAACAGAAAAACAAACTTACATCAGACGATATAAAGTCGATAATGAGAAAATGTGATGAATTACATGAGTGGCTAAGCTCGTACCCCGTAAGAATAATATTCTAATTTTTATATTGTATTATTCTTGATAAGCGTTTATTTTCTCATATAACCAAAGGAATTGGATCATTATCTGACCTTTGACCCCAGGAAAACCGATTCTATGGTTAATTACGCGATTTTCTTTACTCTTATCATGCGAGAAATTGACTAATCTTCAAAATCATAATTTGTCCCGAATTATGTATTCGAGCAGATGTCGTTCAAAATTTTCGTGAGCTTTTCGATAACCAAAACTTTCTGAGAAGAGCGAGATGACTAATTTGGATTTATGCCCAATTTTGGGAGCATAACAAATAGATGCGTGAAAAAGGTGTTTGAGCGGTAACTAAAAAAATTTTAATTGCTACGTCGCCGCTGACTTCTTGCTTCGCCACGATTACAAAAATAAAAAAAGTCAGGGCTGGGGGTAACATCCACCTAGAGAATAAAAGTAAAGAAGAACTTATAATGCGTCGTTTTATAATTAGAAACGTTTTAGAGAAGGTAGAAACTGCATTCTGCGTCCCAAACAATTTTTTTCATTTTTATTTATTCGATGAAAGTTGTTTCAGCAGAACAAGGACGAGATAAAGAAACAAAAAACAGAATTAGAAGAATTCATGGACAGAATAAGAGACCGAATAAAAGAAAATCAACAAGTACAGTTTTTGTCTTATAATCATAAAGCTTTGTCACACAAATCTTTTAAGATACAAAAACTTTTTTTACCAAAACTTTTTTGAAATACACAAGCTATATATATATACTGATTAAATAATTTTGAATACACATTCATGAAATCATATATTTAAAAAATAGTTTGCAAAATAGTTTGCAAAAATAGAATGGTGACACAGTAATTTATTAAAAAGTGTTTCAAAGTAATAAAATTCTATTTTAATTAAAAACAGGTTGTTTGATTAAATTAGGGGTTTGCAACAGGCCAACCAGTAGCCCTAACCCTGCATGCAAAGCCATTCAATGTAGCCCTTGTTAACACTCATATTTTCCCCATCAAGCACGAAATCCGAATCCAACAATTTATGCCTAAAAAGCCGCTCACGTGGGTAAAAATGCATGTTTTTTGCTCTTGTCACTGCGTTTTGCCTGGTGTCTTTATTCCTGCAAGGCTAGGCAATATCCATATTCTCTTCTTCTGCTTTTCCCATACGGAGAAACTAAATTTATTGTGTGGCCTGGCTAATAGTTATATGGCCCACCGACAAAAAAATTTTTCACATCCATGGTTTAAATAATACTGAGACAATTTCTTATTGCTTATTAACTAATGGTTAGGTAAAAAAAAAATTAGTATGGAATACAATACATGACCGGTGCAAAAACAATACCGTCTTGCAAATCAGTTCCAGGCTGTTTCACATAGCCATGTTTGGGGTGGAAACGGCCCATTCAAACTTGAAATAACCTTTTCCCTATATTTCAGGCCGCTGAGGAAAAGAAGAAAGCCCGATTTGAAATGAAAAATCCACATGAAATGTTAGAGGACATAGAAAGCTATGTTGAGGAAGCTGAAACATTTGTTAAATCCAATGAGTGCAGGGCAGCACTGTTATTCAAGGATAAGGAATGTATACTCACCATATGTCGAGCGGCAAAACGACGTGTCAACTCGTATTGGGTAAATTTTTTTTGATTGGATTTCGAGATACAACTTTAGAATAGTTTATCCAATATCTTAGATTCAAAGAAATGATCAATAGACTCATTTTTGAACTATTTTAGATTGTATATCGTGTAAATCCTTGCAGATGTTTTCTTTTTACTGTTGGTTTTATTGTCTATTTGCTTTGATTTGCGCCAGACGGGTCGATTAAGTATTGGGTTGTATTGTTTTTACCAGGAACCTCTAAAATGTACATAGCAAAGTTTTTATATTTCTATTAGTTTCGCTGTTTGTTAATCTCCATACAGTTAATAACGTAATTGTTATAATCAGTTTCCCTCTTCGCGACAAGCAAAACGTACATATTAACGTTTTTACAAACCAGAAGTTAAAAGAGACCATTTATGAACAATTTGAACCCAGAAATATTTTGTATGTTACCTACAAAGTGTCCCAACCGTCTAAGTGTATCACATGTATCACACACAACCTGAACTCAGGTTGTCTACCAGGTTAGGGTTCAGGTTATGCGACATCTTGGTGCGCATACGTCAGGAGTACCCATCTTTCTAATTTATCAAATTTTTATTTTAACGACTTTATTTCAACAAGAATACCTTTGTTTCAGCTATATTCACTTGAAGAGTTAAGAAGCATATACGATGAATTAAAAAGTGCGGTGGCAAAGGCTCGCAATAATATTCCTGGGGAAAACAAGGTTCGAAACCAATCATTTCATTGTATTGTTTGCAACTGTTTGAAAACCACTAGCAAATGAAGTTGTGAAGTGGAAGGCATGAGCAAACGTGTAACTATGAAACGTAATATGGTTACTGAACCGAGCTGGGTATATTGCATATAACCTTTGTAGCGCAATTAATAGTGGAAGTGGAAATATCATTGTCCTAAGTTATCTTCATAGATTATATATTTACGGGGTGTTCATAAAGTTCCTTTACAATTTCAATTTTGTTTTTAAGTCAGTTTCCAATACATCTTAACCAGGTTCGTTGTTTTTAATCAGTAATTGTATAAGTATTTTCACTTTGTTCAATATATCCATGAGGGCCAGGACAGTATGTGGTATCGATGAATTCCCTTTGCAATTTACAAAAAATTCAAGACCCTATAAACGCCGTATATATGAGTAAGTATAAACATCACTTTGGGCCTCCATAACTCTCGAGGAGAAACCCATTCATACCTTATCTCGCCCTTGATGTGTTAAAATTTAGCTTTTAATCGACTGCTATCAAAGCAAGTTTTGCATATTCTGTTTCATTCCCATAAATAGCTTATATAATTTATTATCAATTTTCAGAGAAGGAGTCGCGAGTCGGACAAGAGAAGACGCGATGAAGCAGAAATAAGACTTCGTGATTATATAGCATATATACGAAGTCGTATTTCAGTGATCAAACTTGAGAAAAATAAACAAAAACTTATAAGAATGTGCGGAGAAACAGAGAAATTTCTGCAAAAAAAGAAGAGTGTAAGTAACATGGAAATTAATTATATATACTTTATTGCTATACAACAAGTACCTTAACGTGGAATATTGGAATTGATGGAATATTGAAAATTTTGCTGACGAAAGTCAAAATTAACCTCAATAATATTATGATGAATAGTCCGAAAAATATTGTAAGCTTTATAACATGTGTTCTTTTTTAACAGAAACTGGGTCTCGCGTAACAATCCTCACATTCTTCCCAATATTTACTATTTTTTATGACTTCGTAACCAATATCTTTTGAATATAAAATCCATATACCTGCTACTTTTCAGAATCTAACGTCTCAAGAAATAGGAAATATTGAAACAAAACTGAGAAAGAATTTTGAGTTGATTTACTATGGATCAGAATTTGAGAACGAGGTATTTCGCTCATGCATGTATTCTTGAAAAAAAGAAATGAAATTTTGCTTCGCTTTGCCAGTAATTGCTATTACGATGGAGATAAAATTTAAATAAATTTATTTATCTTATATCAAGTGGCTTATTTACGTAAAATGGCGTCATGGGAAGGTTCATAAATGCGCCTCCTTGATCGTTGACTGACCATTGTGCGTCATTATTTAAGTATAAATTATTCGACATCATGTACAAAACTGCCTAGTTACTTATCGATCTTCAGTGAGTAAAGAATATATTTTTTGAGAGAGGTCTATTACTTTTATTTTTTGCTATAACGTCATCAAAATTATGTGGTGTTGTATACCCAACTTATGGTCTGAGAGTTGATAGGTATTTGTTTGTCTGTCTGTTAGATGAACGCGATACCTCACGAACGCGAGGTTGAATCTGCTCTAAATTTTGCATGTGCATGCATCATATCTCGGACCAGAAGCCTATTGATTTTAGGTTAATTATGTCGTATAATTAGCGAGTTATTAATTAATTACTCATTTTTTTTTATATAATTAGCAAGTTATTAATTAATAATTAATTTTTTTTTGTGGTCCATCGATAAGTCTTCGGCCCCCGACCGATATTCTCGTTATGTCTTCATGCGAAGTTTGTTCTATTAAAACTGAAATGTTTTTATTTTAACGAATTTATGTTATACAATATGTTAAATTATGAAACGGAAATTATGTTATTGGAATATTTTACGAACTTGTTGCGTCCAAATCTAAACGTCGGCTATATTTATTTCTCAACTTGCGATGATGGCATTCTCAGGAAGAAGATATTGAATATGGAATTCATGGAAGTACTTTCACGTTATCAGATAATTACAAAGATAAGATCCGTCGTCAACAAAGCTGGATTTGTAAAAAAGTGAGTTGGTCCCTTTGATATACTAATCTAATACTCTAACTAACAAGTTTTCACTGGCAGTCCTGTCGTACATTTAATGCAGAGTTTCCCAATCTGTTTCAATATATTTTTACGTTTGCCTCTTTCGATCTCTTTATTCTCCTTTCATTGGTCACCACAAACAGTATTAATAAACCAACGTAGAAAATTGAGCTATTTCTGTATTTATTTTCCCAAAAAATTAACACTTTTCCCAATGATTCCTCCCTCTGGTTGGAAAAGACTGGTCTAAGGCAGAGTTATGTAATATTTCTGTCGGTGGGCCATATAACCAACTTCAGACATCTAACTGGGTCACACAAATAAAAGAGAATACGGCTATCGCTCAGCCTTACAGTAAGTTATTAAGGTATCGGGCAAATCGATATCGAAAGATTTAACGCAGCGAAAAGAGAAAAAAAAACAAGATGTAATTTTACCCATGTGAACGACTTTTTGTACATAAACTGTCGGATTAGCATTTCATGCTTGATGGGGAAAATTTTAAGGGAGCACCAGAAGTATGTGCACCAAGATGGCGCACAACCTGAACATAGTATGTGTACCAGGTTAGGGTTCGGGTTGTGTGCCATCTTGGTGAACATACTCCGGGAGCGTCATTTTGAGTGTTGACAAAGGGCATACTAAATGGTGTAGCGGGCTAGAATATGGCACGCCGGTTGCACATACCTGTCTTAAGGGGTTGGGGTGTTGTCTGAGGATTGATTGCTAATCAGCAGAACACAAAAGCTACCTTTAAACTATAAAAATTCTTCCTACAGTTTAACATTGCAAAATTTTTGATGCTTATTTGGAGTGCGTTTTCGCGAGGTCCGTCTTACAAACTAGATTACTTGTTTCATATCTAATATCAAAATATTTACCAAACTGTCATTTTAAAAGCTGATAGCTGATTCATGCCACAACACAAATTTAAGTTAAATTCCTACTTGTTAAATTACAGCAAGAACCAAAGAAACCCAACCAAGAATACAGACAAGGTACTCCGACCAAATGGATTCCTGAGCTTCGCAATGTAACGGCAGAGATACGGGCAAGCATAAAGCTAATGCAGCCGAAAATGACAGATTCCGAAAAAAACAAGTTGCAAAAACTTTGCAAAGACACAGATGAGTGGTGTGAAAATAATCCAGTAAGTACAGTGTGTGTCACAAGCATATATAGTTTGGAAGTTATTTTAATGTCAGTGATTGACAAAGAAATTTTAATACTATAATGAAATTCTATCCATCAACTGGTGATTATCACAAAACGGGGATTGTGTTATTTATTGTTTGTATGGCTTAACTGTGTAGATACTGAAGTTATAATATAGCAAAACAAGACAATTATAGTGAATGAACAAATCGTTTCACTGTACGAGAATTAGCCATAATAAGTTTCTCACATTTTACTTTTAATAAAAATTTGTACAACAGTATGCGAAGAAGCGTGAAGTTGACTTGGAACGCAAAAAAATAGAGGAGTTGTGGAACAATACACTTCAGAAAGTAGAGACAAGAGAAATAGTAAGATACAAATATTTATAATATTATTAATTAATGTTTCCCCGACTTATGCTGTATTTACACATTTGATTATTTGTTCTGGATCTCGACAATGTAGTACATTACCGTTATCTATTGCCGAATTGGCGCTCTTCATGCCTTCAACTGACATATACAAAACTTTCCTTGAGCGATATTAAAATTATATTCAGCAGCAGCCGTGATTTTTCATTCAAAAAGCAAAACAAAACTTATCACTGCTTTAACAATGCTTGTATTTTCTCTTGATTCCAATGATACTGTTTGTAAGACGAAAATGCAATTTGGTTTCAAACATTATATTCATTTTTTTACAGAATGTCTACGTCGGAAGATCACCTAATGCAAGATATCTTCTGCAAGTAAGAAGTGCTTCGATTATTTTATGTTTAAAACTGTTGGAAAAATGCTAATCACTAATTTATTTTCTCCCGATTGCTTTTAGTTTATACTGTAGTATGTTACTGAAAGCGCTTTATAAAAAGGAGTACACAAAGCCAACGGAGAAGTTTTATGTTTGATATGGGAATAAATAACCAGTTAATTGTTCCAAAATCCCACTGTATTTTTTCTCACTTCCACAGCCAGAAGATAGCAAAACAGCTCTTTTGAAATTTGCACGACTTGCGAGAAGAAAAATTCACAGCCCTCTTTATAAAACCCAAATTCAAGAGTCGGGCAAAAACCAAATTATCACCACGCACGATAAAGTGAACGAGAGAGTGTGGGTGAGTCTATTTCATTTACAAGCCACTTCGTGTGAAAATTACGTAAATTAATGATATAAACTTTGAAAAAGCACTATCTATTCTAGATTCCCGTATAATAGTTAAAATTTGATTCCATAAAACAGCTTTAGCAAGTTTTTATTGTTGTTTTTTGACTCGAGGTAAAGTTATATTCTTTTATACAACGCTTACTCGCGCTTTTCGCTCAGTACCAGCAGCCCTTAACATCTCCCGACATGTCTAATCTTATTTGCAAAGACAGAGATTTTTCCTGTTCGGCTCATTAATATTATGCTTATCGTTACGTGCTGCAATAGATTGCCGTTTTTGAAGCGTTCAAAGTTTATCATTTATTTAGACCAAAGAGAGGGCAGAAATAGAGCTAATGGAATTCAAGCAACTTTGCATAAAGGTTTTCAAAAAAGTCGATGAAAATGCTGATCCTCAACGCATGGACGTTGAAAGACGCTGGTACTACTAGACAAAACAAATAATTTCGATTGCTGATTTTGTAAACTCCTATAAATAAAATCCATGCACTTTATTTACAAAATTAGTTTCTTCATATTGCGTTGAATATTCAATTTGTGTTTGCTTTAGACCTGATAAATACAGTCGTTTATATGTAATAAAATTATGTATGATATGCATTATGTATTTTAAACTTTTCCATTGTACTTAAATCACTTTATATATCCGTGGGTTTTTTACAAATTTTAATTTGATACTTGTAAAAATGTGTTACAGAAACGAATATATTTTCTCTTTAATTAAAATAAAAAAGCGAAGTTTTTCGGAGGAAGTTTGAAAAAAAAATTAATCAACTTCTAGAAATCAAATAGGGGAACTTTAATTACAAAATGAATTTTTTATAATATGCTAAAAAGGTTAATTTGCGATTGTTTTAGAGCTGATACAGACATTTATTTATATATGTAATAATATTATAGTATGCGGTATGTAATTTTATCTTTTGATCGTATTCTAATCACTTTATATATCCATGTATTTTACAATTTTTCCTATAGTAATATTTGATTTTTGCATGGCACACCAAGAATAAAATTTTAAATCAAAATTTTAGTAGAAAATTATTACTATCATGACAATTATTCCTAATAAAATATATTTTTAATGGGATATGTGAACTTATTTCCAACATCTACACCAGGGGTGGCCAACCTATGGCGCATGCGCCAAACGTGGCGCATTGCATGATTAGAGGTGGCGCATTGCATCTTTAACTCTTTTCATGCCAAAATTGTTAATTGGACTTGGCTTCTCCCCGCCAAGCCGTTTTTTGCGATTTACATGGTGACTTCTGATTGTACCTAAAATCTATTCTCCTTACTCCACGTCGCCCACTTACGGTTTGTTGGAATTAGAAACAACAGGCGATTATCGACGTTAGCTATTGGACGGACTTTATGACGTTCATTCTAGTCTTTTAGCAAAAATTATCAAAATTCACTACTTTTTCCCTACTGAAGTAAAAAGTTCAGAACTTCTGGAAAAATTGAAAATCGTTATTTATCAGCTTGAAACATGGATTTTCCATTGCCCAGACTTCCCAAATATCTCCCAATAACCATTGAACAACCAGTTGAATTGTCCAAGCCTAAAAAATTTATTATAAATCAAGTTATAACATGCTGAAAATGACCCCTAAATACCACCTTTTTCATCCAAACTTAAAATGACCGTTGTTAACAAAAGCGAAGAGTAAAATCGCTTGCTGTGACGCAAGTACTAATCTCGAAGAAGCCTGGAGTAAAATCACGCGACGCTAGGCCAAACAGCTGATTACCAAAGGCCAATTAGAATCGAGGGTAGAGTAGAGTAGATATTGATACTAAAGTCCTGCTGTCACAATATTACGCCTAACTTTACTTCTTAATCGTACCTTTTTCTCTTCGTTGTTAAAAACAGCTTTATTAAGTTCTGGCAAGCGTTACACCGTGAAAATTTTCCAGAACTGAGAAAATTTGCCCAGGGTTTTATATGTCGTTTCGGAACGACATATAGATGTGAACAAACATTTTCTGCCATGAAACTAATTAAAAGCAAAGCGAGGTCAAGACTTACAGATTTAAATTTGACGAATGCACTGCTCCTCTCAGTAACAACATTAACTCCAAGAATAAAAAAAAACTGGCGAATGTAAAACAGCAGCAAAAGTCTCATAAAGGCGGTACTTAAACAAAATTGATCAGTTTTATCTATTATACTTCCTTACTCGATTTCTATTCATGTGAAGTTGTAAATTGTAAAAACTACATATACGTGTGTATATATGTGTGTGTATTATAAATTTATATAATTTCAACAAGAAGCGGACATTAGGCGTGGGAATACAAGAGATTTACGGCGCATCTGAAACATTATGTTCAAAACGTGGCGCATGGTATGTGAAAGGTTGGCCACCCCTGATCTACACCATTACAGTTAGTCAGGGTCCCGATTATCTTTTGTAATAGAATTCCCAGTTATCTAATCAGGCCTCCGTGATTATCTAATTTTTCCGTGTTCTAAAAAGTGCTTCTTATAATCGTATACTGCAGGGATGTTCAAATTTGAGGTCCCGACCCTCCGGTGGGTCGAGGTAAAATGATTTTCTACACTAACTTAAAATGAAACAAAATATCCATTCAATTGGGAAGATTTCGAACCTGTCCTGAGACCGAAATAGATCCGAGGTTCGATCTTTTGTGTGGGATTATGCAAGCACGTCGACCGCAATAATAGTATCGTCAGTTCCACTATTATTTTCTGTGCATATTATTAAATTTTGCTAAATTTGAGTTCCTGAAGGTCGTAACAAAAATGGAAGCCTGTCCACTGGGTCGCGACGAGAAAAGTTTGAAGAACACTGGTATACTAGATCTTCTATATCTCATATTCTTTTTAGGTAATCATCGGTTACTTTTTGCTGGGCGAGAATTTCATCACATTTCCCTGATTGAGATTCATGGAATGCAGTTGTATAATATTTTTTTTTGTGATTTATGTTCCGCCATACATAGTTTTAAGACACGGCTCGCAGATATTTATCCTGAGGAAAAATTAGCAACGTTGGCATTTCCTGCGAGACATCTGACTGGAGATGGGATGTCGTTTGTAATGACGAGGTATGCTTATTAATTGTTTTTCTAAATTACTGCATTTCATGTTGCTATTATGATTTTGGTGTCGAAAAGTCACCCTTTTTTGAGTTACGGAATCAATAGTCTATGAAAAATCAGTATTTGAAGATGTCCATTGAATGAGCTTGAATGAACTTTTTGGTTTTCTCTGTTATTTGAAGACCCGTTCAATAAAGGCACAAAAAATAATAATAATCGAAAAACAAAAGGGACGATAATAAATAACGATATATATATACATATAAACAATCCGACATTTGAGATATCCCACGTCAAATCTGTGTATACAATCAATGACTAAGTAATAGACTCCTAACACTACACTCCGTGACCACGGGCTAACAAAACAACTTCCATCTATGACACCATACTTCTACAAATCCCGGAACCAGTCTATGTGTTGAGATCATACAAAAAAGGGATAATTAACGATAAACATGATAAACGAGACTCTATGTAAATAATAGTTTAATTAAATCAGCACTACCTATTCCAGCGGTGAAACATAAAACATACAGTAATCGCACCATGCACAGCCAGTAATATCAGCCTATTCAAAAATTACTGAAAATATTTTCCTAGTCTGAACTAACCATCGTCAGTAGAGTCTACTCTCACCGCACTGTCAGTGCGAGCTGGTGAAATAAACAATTGCCTTTGTGAACAAACAATTGCGTTAGCACGCTTGTTAAACAAATGTAGCGTACCGGCAGTCTATGAAATAATTATCCAAGTTCAGAATATATTCCAATATGGTCTGACGTCAAGTTTCCTCTTAATATTCACTTCAATTTATGCTATTTTGTTCTATTTATCAATTAACAATCTCAACACAACCAAATACTCCAAACAAAACGACCAGCATACAATAAAGCGACGAGTACCAGGCAGCTCAATGCAAGAAAACAGAATATATATACACAATAAAAAGACTCTACAGCAGGGTTGCCAGATCCCAGTGATAAAAAGCCAGGTCAAGGAATAAGCCACAAAGAAGCCAAAAAATTTACCAAGTACAAAAACCTCGTATTTGTCAGTTTCAAAACTATTGTCACAATAGTGAATTGGTACAGTGCAATATGCTGGTTTAGAGCCATCAGTTGATTTAGTGAGCCCACACAAATACCTTTTCTCATTAAGTATTTTTGGTTGCTATCATACGATGATTTCATTCGCTATGATGAAGTTTTAAAAATAAGAAGTCTAATTATTGAATGATTGGGCCAGAATTTATACCCGACACTATACAGTCAAGCTGACAGCAATATTTTATAATTCAATAAATACAATATAGAATGTGGTAGATATATAGGCTACAACTTCCGATATACCCTAAAAAATTCTCTCTATACTTTACTATAAATTTTTTTTATTCCTATTTTGCGAGTGTTCGGATTATAAACTGGTTTACAAGTTTGAAAGCATCATTTACATTTGTCAGTATAAAATATCGTCAGTCTCGCTGGTTTTTGAAATTGATCACAAAATCGGCTAACGCATCTTAAAATACAGCAAAATGCAAGAAGCTGTCGGGTGCTATACAATTCAATACATGTGTCTACAAATTTAAGCTGGAACGTAAAAATTCAGGCTTACGAATACGTCTGGATTTTCAAATTAACTAATACTTTCGTGAAGACATTATGAAAGATCACATACATACTGTCCAAATCAACAACAAATAGTAATAGCTAATTGCCAATAATATTGCTTCTTGTTCCAAATCTGTTTTGTACAAGTTTTGAGATTTAAATCAATTTTAATTAACGATAAGCCGACAGAAGGCTCGAATTTACCAATACAGTAGTTCTGTTCCAACAGATATTATGTTTTAGGTATATATATTTTTTGACAGTGTCAATATTCTATTCTTGTTTTAGCGATATAGATATCTAAAAAGGCATTTTTTTTTAAATATCTTTAATATTCTTTGAACCCTCAAAACAGAACAAAGCTCGTACATTGAAAAACACTTTAATTTAACTCATTAACACTCATTAATTGAAATACATTTCATTATTAATAATTACTATAATATATTTATTGCTACACCATTAAAATATGTTGGAAGTCGAATTTAAGATGTTAGTGATCAATGAAAAGCAAATATTTTCAAAGGCAACATATTTTCAAAATCACGTTAGAATATGGTCCAAAATACTGATAATAAAAATGTATTTATACTAGAATTTTAGTGAGTATATATATATATATATATATATATAGATATATAGGAACTGAAACAATCATAGATGAAATATATGAATGGTATGAATATTAGTTATTTCTCTGAAGTTAGCAAGATAATACAAAGCCGAATTATTCAATTTTGTTGTCATTCCTGTTCAGTAGTACCAGCGTCTTTCAATGTCCATGTGTTGAGGGTCAACCTTTTCGTCAACTGTTTTGAAAACCTTTATGCAAAGTTGCTTGAATTCCATTAGTTCTATTTCCGCCTTCTCTTTGGTCTAAGTACAAAATAAATGGTAAATAGTTTCCGACTGCGGACGCTCCAAAACCTGCAAGCAATTGCAGCCCACAATAATAACAATAATATCAGCGAACCTTCGAAATAACCATAAATTCATAAATATCGTAAGATATCAATGGTATTTTGTACTGAGCGAGAGGCCAGATTGGGCATCGTATAAAAATTAGAAGTTTACATCGGATCAAGTATAATAAACAATAAGGGCATACTAACAAGCTAAAACAGTACAAAAAAAAAAGGAAAACTTAACCCAAAAATCTGATTTGAAGATAAACAGTGACTTTTCGCATTTTATATTACTAATTCACGTAACCTTCATGAGCAAGTTAATTAAAAGTACTCACCCATGCTCTTTTGAGGACTTCATTGTACTTGGATATTATTTTGTTTCTGTCGGAATCCGGAATTTGGGTTTTGTAAATATGGCTGTGTACTTTTCCTCTAGCAAGTAGGGCCAATTTTATAAGAGCTGATTTGCTATCTTCTGGCTGTGGAAGTGAGAAAAAATCCAGTAGGATTTTGTAGTAGCGGTATTAGACTCTCAAAATATATGATAGCTCCATATTCGCCTTTTTCAATAAAATATTTTGACAATACATAGTATTTGGCACTTTTGTGTATTACGTTGAGAAAAAAAATTATTTAATTGATCTGGAACATAATTAGGTCCTCACAATATCCTACGCTTTCATTCCTATACCAGGCCTGGATATCTATTGAATAATAAATCTCGTCCTATTAATTTTGTAAACCACATTCACTAACATACTTCAGAAGACAATAATTTAAATTGGGAGCAAAGGAATTTTTCATTAAAATTTTTCAGTTCATTTTAGGCGGTATAAACAGAAAATAATCGACCAAGTCTTACTTGCAGTAGATATCTTGGATTACGTGATCTTTCAACGTCGACATTCTGTAAAACATTTAATCTAATGTTAAAAACCACATTACTTTTTGTTCTTACAAAAAGTATCATTGGAATCAAGAAGGAAAATACATGTATCGTTAAAGCGGTGATGGAAACACCAAATATAGCTTAAGTTGTCAGCTGCGGTGGACGTACGCGCGAACCCGTGCTAATCCCCCGAATCCAACCACTGGTCATTCTACATCCGAAATACGTGATCCACTCTAAAATACCCAGTTGTGCTTTAACGCATTTCCATCAGTTATTTTTTGCGTCGCATGGTGATCTAGTGTTTGCTCGTTAGCACTCAGAGAACTGCTCGGCGACCATAGGGAGGATTACGGTACAATTTTGGAGAGGCTGCTTTTATCCAAATATTTCACGGCCATCATGAAAATTCCATATGTTTGCTCGCATTATGGCCTTTATAAGCAGCGAATAATCTAAAGAATGAAAGGCCCAATAGGACACTGGATACTCGTTTCAATCCTATTTTCCACGTGGTTGTATTAAATTGCCAATACTTTTAGCCTGGAAATACACCATAGATCAAGACAGATATAATAAGTAATTGAAAATCATATAAATATTTTAGGTATTTTACTATTTCTCTTGTCTCTATCTTCTGAAGTGTAATGTTCCACAGCTCTTCCAGTTTTCTGCGTTTCAATTCAACATCACGCTCTTCTGCATACTAGTAGACAAATATTATTACAATTAGGAAAGAAATTAAACACTGGAAAATTTGCATCACATTCAAGAATAACTAATACTCTGTTCTCGTACAATGACAACAATCATTCACTATTGTTCTTTTGTTTTGATATTCGGGAAGCTCCGAATTGCTAGGAAAATACATTAACTAATCTATTCGGACCATATGAGTGGGAAAATCATTAAAAATGATGGATTCTCATTATATCAAAATTTTGTACGCACTCAATATACTTTACAGACTTTGAAGTAGTCTCTTGTGAATTATGACACATTGTACTTACTGAATTGTTTTCACACCACTCTTCTGTGTCTTTACAGAGTTCTTGCAACCTGGTTTTCTCCGAAATTGTCATTTTCAATTGCACTTGTTTCATATTTTCCATTATTTCCTTCGTTACCCTGCAAAGCACAGCTATCCATTTGGTTGGGGTAACACGTTTATCTTTTTCTTGCGGTTCCTTTGTTTCTTTCTGCAAAGCACAAATCTTGTCTCATAAAACAAGATTTCATGTCTGAGTGGACGCACGTATATATCCTTGTTGAGAGCATAATTAACAGTATTATAGAAACATTTGGAATGTTGCAAATATGTATAGGTGTTGAGACAACAAAAGCTCCAATTTGAAAAGTCATTTAAAATTTATTTTTCTGATAGAAAATCGAGGGATACTATAAACTAATTTAGGAAAAAACAAACAAAAACTGAAGCAAATACCTCTTTCCTTTTTTTCAATTCTTTGTGAATACTTTGAATAATTTCATCCAATTCTTTGTAGTTTCTTTCTATTTCAGTGGAAGTCAAGTTTTCCTATAAAGTGAATAAACGTTTTATTATATTTGATAGAATATTGGTAATGGATACCAACACGGTCCAAAACTAACTACAGGTCAAACACTGACACTGGAGGTATTTCCTATGAGGACTTAAAAATATACGAGTTAAGTATCTAATTTTGTATGACTTGTCTAAACGTATGTGGTCATATTGGACGTCACAACATCCCGCTTAAAGCTTTTTTGTGATTTTGATATTTATAGCAAATATGTTTGTGTACTCACCGCAATTAAGACGTGATTTGCTTTAATGATTTTAGATTGAATTCTAGATTTATCGTTCTTTGTCAATCTATGCGTGAGAGGCTCAAACACTGTAAGACGTTGGACACGGTCGATGTAATTCTTTAGTTTTTGACGCATTTCAGTTTTCGTTCTGCGCTCTTCGCAGGGTCTCCTTGTTAACTCAGCTTGTTCTATCTGGAAACATATAATATTCATAATCAGTTTATATTGACCAAGTCAATTACAAATAATACAATTTCACGGGAAGAATTTTTCAATGTCGATCACAAATTCACCTCTAGAAACTGGGAACGTTAGGGTAGTGAAAAGCAGAGCAAAATGCCTGAAGGTGAATTACATTTACAATGTTGAAAAATGGAACACATTTTCAAAGAAATCACCCAACCGTGTCAATTCGTTCCAACTTTTTGTACACATGTTCAGTCAGTTTACGTAGATCTGAATATTGGACTTCTAGTTGGTTCATATCTGAATTTTCCTGAACAACGAAAAAAAAATCAAATTACTCACAACTTCGCAATAAAATCAAAAGAGCTCAAGTCTTATTTTTCAGAAATAATCTGATTATCTGTATTTATAGACCATTTCTGGGTTACAAACTTGGACCTGTTTTAGTTTTGATTTTAGGTAGTACCTTATGTATGCTTTCTGGTTTTGCTGTTGGAACTTAACTATCACAAAAATGCAATTTTCTTAAAACCTTAAAATGGGACTTGCGAAAATTTGGTATTTGCCTAATAGAATTGTGGCATTTACTACACGCTGGGTTGGATTGATGATGTGATACTTTAATCTAGATTTTAACCTGTGATACCAACTTAATCAAGTCGTCTAACCAATAACTAACAACAACTCATATGATCTCACATTTACGCCAAATATAAAATGTATCCCAATATTCACCTTGATATGTCTTTCTGCAATGTCACATTGGCCAAATATTAATCTCAAATCTACTTCAGTCAATCTGTTATTGAACTGTTTAAATACAACCAGCGATCTGACATCAGAAATGTATGCTCGGAGATTGTTGATTACTTCTGCTTGTTTTCTAATCGTTTTTTCTCGCTGTCGTTCACGTTCAGCTTCGACCTAACCCAAATATTTAAAAAAAATAATTACTCAAAATAACCATTCGGTAGAATTATAATTGAAGAAAAATTGTAATTGTAATTGCGACCAATTTGAAACATGTAAACGTCTTTCCAGTTTTACTCTTATTTAACTTAAAGAGTCAAATTTCATTTATTTTTAGGAATAATTCTCAAAACAGATATTCGCACTTGAAGTTCTTTCACTAAATTATTTCACTCATAAATTTATCGTGCAAGGTCAAATACCAAAGATGTCTAATCTTACCTCTTTTTTCCTTGCCCGTAACGCATTAAAAATATCATTGACAGTTTTCTGTAATTTATCAAATTCTGATAAAATTCTTTCGTCAGGGATTTGATGCTGAAAACAATTAATATCGATATTATAAATAAAGATATATTATGAATATTATAAAACTAACGTATAAATTGAATTAAATCTTTTTGTGGGTTTTAAATGGGACGAAATGTTTACCGTGATAATGCGTTCAATTTTGAACACAGTCAAAAAACATGAATAATATTGATGAGGCGGGATTATCTATCCAAACAAAGCCCTAAACAAACAACTATGTTAAAAGCCAAAAAGTACGCCTACAAGAAAGGCTATGTGTTTTCTATTGCTACGCCAAAGTGTAAAATATGAGAGACCTAATTAATCGACCATTCCAGTTGGCCACCGTGATTTGAATCATTTATTTTCTTAACTGACTTACATAATTTTCATTGATCCATTTGAATACATTCGTGCAATGCTTGTATATTGTATCAATGCACTGGACAATTGTTTTGTCTGTTTCCCTTTCAGCTTCCAGAATATTACAAACATCATCAATGTAATCGTGTACAGCAGTTCGGGCTTGCTGTCGAAACATTTCTTCTGTCTGAATTTTTTTTTAGAATTAACAACATGAAACAACAAATACGTTTATCAAAATGAAATGTGTTCTTATTCTTGTTGATCTTGTTCCTATTTTTGTTGATCAGATATTTTCTTTCTTAGAACTTTGTGTCCGCCCCATTTAAACTACTCGATTACAATACAATACCAAAACCCACTCATGTGCTATGAATTACGGTGACACACCCAATATATTAAATAAATGTAACATCAAACCATGAAATCAGAAACTTCACTATTTGCGAATTATTTGTGAGTTCCTCTCATTCACGTCACACCATACTTCCATAGTAGCACGTTCACCCCCCGTTGGGACTAAATTTTTATTCAAATCTTAAATGCAATTTTTTATTTTGATCTCACCTCTTTTTTGATTGCTTGCATTTGGTCATAAATATTTTCAATCGTCGTTCGTAAATTACTCTGCTCTGATATAATGGTATCGGGGCTAATTTGATCATTAGAAAGTATATGATTAGTGTTGAGCTACGACAGAATAAAATTTTATATATTTTTTAGCTTCCAAGCAAATATTTATCAAAATAAAAATATCCAAGAAAATGTCAACATTACTTCCAGTCAGGTGTTTGTATGTTCAGAGTGCGATAGATTTTTTGGTAAACATTTGCATCCACCAACACCTATGAACAACAGTATATTCATGGTTCTCAAGTTTTGAGTACGAGTCGACAGTCAAATCAAATCACAGATAATACGAGTCTAGGATTAAGTGCAAGTCCTAGCAAATTTCGGGTGTAGAGTCACTGCCTCGGAACCAATAAAGCACTGAAGCACTGAATTCGAGTTTCAAGTCCGAGTCACAAGCTCTACGCACCACACGAGTAGCTGTAGTTTCAAGTCATCAATCGAGTCCCGTCACAATAGATTGCATAAACAAAATGAAATGAGTGGACAAAGTCACTTTGACACTTTAAAATTTCAATTCAATAATTTCGTTCATTCGGATGACCCGAGTCGAGTCAACATAAGTCTCAAAGAGTTGACTCAATTCGAGTCAATGACTTTATTTCACAAATCATTGATAGGTGGTCACTTGGTACTCTTCAAATAATTTTATATTTTCCTTTTGGTGGAAATTCGACATTTTGTTTTTAGTAAGTTTAAAACAAAATAAATATGAGTGGCTTTGACAGCAGTTCCATCTCCCATATTTTATTTAGATTACTCGACTCACCGTTTGTAATTAAATGGTGAGTCAATTACAATTTAATTTTGATGGGCGTTATATATCATATTGTATTAATTTTGCACTTACATAATGTTTTTTGACCCACTCCAATACTATTTCGCAGCTTTTTGTAATCATATTGATATGCGGACTTGTGAACTCGTCATTTTTCTCTTCAGTTGCGATCTTTGTTTGAACTTCGTCGATGTATTTACATAGATCGTCGAATGCTTTTTGTCGAAGAATTGCTTCTGCTTCTTTTTTCTTTGGAAATATATTCAGTAATCACTAGTTAAATATTCCGCCACACATAAATAAACTTTGTGAATAAAGAGTCCAAAAAGGTAAAAATGGCATCTAAGGGCGAATGAAGGCGCGGGTAACAAATGCTGGTTATTAATATTAATAATTAATATTAGCATGAAACATTGAACATTAAAATAGCATAACAATGAACATTAAACAAAGAATATGTCAAGGTAAGTCGAGGCGGCATGGATATTCAGAAGACGCTCGATACAAAGAGAAACGAGAAACGACTCCGAGCACCGATATGCGAGTAAAACCATCCAGGCTTAATCAATTTGTTTATTTATGAAAATGTACAATAATAGAATATTTCAGATAAAAAATGTTCCAAGTATCCCAATTTGTCATAAATACGAGTATAGACAAACCTGTTTCATTTTGCTTATACTTTGTTTGATTTCTTGCACAGTAGCTTGCAACCTTTCATGCTCAGCTTGGATCGATTCTGCTGATATCTCCTGTAAAAGTAGTTGATTGAGTTTACCGTTAACAATCGTTTTATCACATTTAGAGTCTTAAAAACGACAGAACTGAAGTTCCTGCTTACCAGCTTCAGTAAACATAAGAGCATTATTCGAACATGTTAAGGCGAATGTCGAATATCGGTACACTCCTGGCCTGCTAAAAATTTGCTAAATAGATCGGAGGGTTCAAGCCTTGCAAGGGCGGTCGGGCTAGGCAGAATACAAATTGTTTTTCTTTAATTGAAATAAAACCTAAAATTTTACAGTGAAATAATAAAATTTGTAATGTAAAAATGCAATGGCGTCCTAACTAACTAAAGAGATTTTTCTTAAAAACAACAACACTCAGTGATAATTATATAACAAAAAAATAACAACAACTAGAATGTGAAAAAACATGAAAAATTCTTCTATAATCTAGGTAATGCTGAGACTCACTTCAGATTGAAGCCATTTTACAGTTTCATTGTGTAAGGCGTTCAGCCTATCTGGATATTCAGTTCCAGCAATTTGTTCTGATTCACACATCTGACGAATTGAATTTAGATACTTTATGAGATTATCACGAGCCTCGGTCAGCTTCCTTTCTTTTTTTGCTTGCTCCTCCTTTTCTGCTTCAATGGCCTGTTTTACAAATGAGAGTGAGTTGTTTTACCAATTAGTTTGTTCCATTTAAATGAGTGAAATAAATCGCACATCCACTAATCTATTTTTTGACGCATTTTTAAAGGGTATTAACAGTACAAATGTTTGGCTAAAGTAGCTCATTATAGGAGTTGCAGGTTGCATTTAGGCAGATAACTAGTAATGTGCTAAAGTGGGTAATGCCATAAACGAAAATGAATGTCTGTGTTAAATTAAGATCGCTTTATGAGTTATAGGAATCGATAAGTCTAAAACAGGTGATTGAATGGATTAAAAAAAAGTCCGCTGTCATTTTTATAGCTTGTAAACGACAAACGGTGGGAATTTGAATATTTAATTCTGGAATCACTATTCTTAGTTTTACATGCTGATAGGATAGCAAGCACTAGTACTGCAAGAATCTGTGTGAATGAAAAGCATATTTGCACAAAACATTGAACAACTCAAACCAACCGCCCTTGGCTGTATGATATGCATTTCTATTGAAATTCACCTGTATTTCTTGTTTTAATCCACACCACAAGTTTTTAAGAGTCACCTCCACTTCAATAATTTTTGATTCTAGTTCTTCTACAGTGATGGTTTTCTGAAAAATGTTGTTTTGTGTATACTTACCCTGAAGCAACAAAACGCTTTAAATGTGCTGATTCAATCACCGCCAAGTGTTCTAATCTTTAAATTTAATATTATCAGTTCAATACATTTTACAAAATTTTCTCACAGCCACGTTTCGCACAATCACTCAGAGGAAAAAGTTGAATGACCAAAGTTAAATGATGTTTACTGTAGCGCATTACCTAATAAGGATACTTAGCTTTTTAATCAAAGCACTAAGTGACCACCCGCTGATATGAAGTGAGCCACTGTGTATTTGAGGAACCTAATTTTTTATGGCAGATATAATTTACAATTGCCACGCTTACATGGCTCGTTTGAAGCCAATCTTCGACTTCGTTACAAGTACGTTTTATGTTTTCGATGTATTGAGAAAAATCTTCGCCGAGCTTTCTGTTTGTTATTTGCGTACGAACTGTATCTAACATTTTGCGAAGGTTTCTGTTTGCTTCATCCCACTTTTTTCTGCTCTCTTGTTTTATTTTATCTGCGGCCATCTGAATGAAAAGTGAATAACAATAATATTCAGCTGATTTACCTAGAAATGGAATATCATCACGTGAATCATAACAGGTAGGTAACTACTTCTTTGTCTATATTTTTGTGTTGTGTGGGAGGAAAAGGGTTCCGATAAGATGGATTTAAAATGAGATGCATGCTTGATTTCACATCAAAAAAGTTAATTGACTACAAACTTGAAACAAATGAAAAAAAAAATCCTGAATAGTTTTTTTTAATATCATCTACTTTTGAGAGGATGTGATTAATACAATATAAGCAAAACGTAAGATATATAAATCGATTACTCTAACATGATGTAAATCATAGTGAAATGACTACCTGAGCTTTTTTCTGCAGTTTTGTCACAAAGCTTTGAATAAAACTTTCAAATTCTGCTCTTTTGTTTTCGATTTGTTTGAAATGAAGATTTTCCTGAAAATAAAAAGTTGTACTTGAGTATACAAATATGTTCAGAAAGACGCCGTCTTTAGAATTCACTCAAAACATGATAACGATCTGTCTTATCTATGAGCGACTAAGTTATCAAAACATACAGAAGTCAAACAGACGTTACTGAAGATAAAGTTAAATGTGGCACTTGTTGAACTTGCAAGTCAATTAACTTTATTATCCATATTTTGTTTTCATTATTTCATATTTAAACATAGCTCACAATATTCTCGTTGATAAATGTTTGCGTTGCTATACATTCAGCATGAATTCCATTTATATCAGTAGACGTTAAATATGTTTCATATTGGTCAAACTCTTTGAGCTCTTGAACGGACTGAATGTAGGATTGGAAATTCTGAATTGCTTCTTCCAGCTTTTGTGCTTGATCCTTTTGTTACATATTAAAGATATTTTAATTTTAAATGAAGTGAGTTTCACTCTGAAATGCTATTTCTTATTTTCTGCACTGTATTTGTACATTAATAGCCTTCCCGCAACTTTTTTGTCTTCAAGCACTATTGAAAAATTGATTGTTTCAGCAATGGCAAAAAAAGTTTTTTTCTTTCACCAACAACAACAAACAACTACAGCAACAAAAATAACAAAGAGAAAATTTATCTATATTATCTCTATGTGAACGTTTCATGTATAGCCATTACAACGTTGTTAGTATATAAACAAAACAAAATACACGCACTACATTCAGCATGGTTAGATAGATATAGGGTTGAATTTATGTTCCTAATCCGCACTTGAATTCTAGTAGAGGATTATTGTGATATTATGGTCTCAATCACTTAATTTCAAAAATATATTTTTTAAAAAGTGGAGAAATGTACAATATAATAAATTATCATCAAGTTTGCATTTCGTGTTGTCATTTTTGTTTCTGGTAGCACTCAATTGTAAAAACTCAAATAATATAATCACAATGTTGGCAGAATAAAGACGCTTATACGGAAATCAAATTGTTATCTAGCTAAAGTATGAAGTGCAAATCCCGCCTTTGTGGGTACTTTTCCATATTATATTTTAATTCATTCACCTGCTGTCTATCTTTGAGTTTCGTTACTATACTAGCCACAAAATCGTCAAATTCTACTTTTACATCCTGAATTTGTTCGACGCTGAGCTTTTCCTGAAAACAGATAGTTTTAATATTACATCTAGAACTATGACTAATTTTTTCAGTTTTTTGTGCAGCTAATGGAATTCTATACATTAAAAATATGATGAAGAGAAATTGTAATTTGCATCTGTATATTGCAATAGACAAGATTTATAGAGATGTCCGAGGTATTTTTGTGAGAGTTACTTAAAACAAAGTTTCCGATACCCCAACTAAAATTATAAAGAACATTGATCAAAGGAGTTATATATGAGTTACCATTGACGCCCTAAAATCTCCATACATTTTTACCTATTTCTGTAACAATATGCCAGTATAAACAATTGTATTCCACAATGTCAGAGAACCAATGTCTACATTGAAACAACAGAAAAAAGGTATTTTTTTTTTAAGTAGAGGTTCGTAGAAAAACTTTTTCCAAAATATCGTTGACACGCGAGAACCTATCTCATCTGTATGCAGATGAGCGTGTAAGTTCAATTTGTTTATTCTAGATATGCACTTAAAATCACATTCTCAAAACTGCTTTGTCCCATTTATCCTACTCACACTTCTCACGCTATCCCCCGCACAATTTTCCAAAAATTGTCCCATTCGGCATATACGTGTCCAATATTAGTACAGTCGTCCCACGCAAAGTTAGAAGGGTATACGAAGTTGGATATGGTGCATAGTGTCACGGTAATTAGTCACGGTAATTAAGTTGGACACTTGGCACACATGCGGAACGTAGGAAAATACGACGTACAGCACACAAATGCTAGACAAGTGTATGCTACTAGACGTGGTGATTAGTGGTAATAATGGAACAACTGGAACAAGTGTGGAAATGTTGTGAAATATCTGGGACAAGTGTGGAAAGTAGGGCAGGTGTGACAAAAGTATCCCAAAGTTTCAAAATACTTGCGACGCTGCTTGTAATCAACATTAAGAAGTCTTTATTTCAGTTGTAATAATAAATGATGATGAAAATGTGTCGTGATCTAACAGAAAAATTGCATTTTCAATTGTATTTACCTCGTTGTTGCTGAGTATTTCCTTCATTGCAAAACATTTTGCATTGATTTCTGATTTGTCATCAGAAGTTAGAAATATAACAGCGTCTTTGAATTCCGCGTGTGATTCGACTGATCGAATAGATTGCAGGAAATGTTGAATAGTCTCGTTTTTCTTCTCTAACTGTTCTCTTTGCTTTTTCATATCCAGAAACTGTTTGATTCAGACATGATTTGGTCAAAGAATGATTTTTATTGAAGCAAACCTGAAATAGACTTGGTTAAAAAAAACTTTTTGTCTCCTTGAGAATATATTATTGTAAATCCATGGTCAAAAAAATTTATTGAAGGCTCCGCGATAACATATTAATTTATGAAAAACTTGAAATATTTTGAGTTAATGCAGTTATAGAAGAAGCTGATTTTTTCATTTTTTGAAAAAGTAATTAAAAATATCTATACCTGCTGTTTTTTTTTTTTTTGGAAGGGGATGGGTCACTATGTATAGTATACTCATATTGATGATAAGAAATAAGTGTTGCTCACTATCAGATGTTTTGATCTAATCTAATCTAATTGTAACTATTTCTGCCAGAATACCAAGTTAACATTCTTACGCTAGCATGATAGAAAAGTGAATGTCAGTTTGTATTATTAACTAATTTAGCAAAGGAAAATTGTGAAAAACTATTTTAAAACCTATTATATTATCGGATTTTGTCCAAATGAATATTGTCAAAATAGTCAAAATAGAATATTGTTGAGCTAAATGCGAAACAGGTTTTATTCTTCATATGATATTGTAGTACAAATTATATATAGGTCTAATGAAACAATATCATGGATTAACGAAAAGCCAGTTATGTGTTGCCTAAACTGACTACTACTACATCTGGCCGTTCCAAAAATTCAATCACAAAATGCAGTATATAATAGTTTTTACCCGAGGTTTTTGCTTCAGAGATTTCAACATACTTGCAACAAAGTTCTCAAATTTCAATCTTTTTTTTTTCACGCAGTCAAGATCTTTCTATAATGATTTTCAAATTTTATTTCTATTCTACTCTGTGTAAGTACTTTTTTGTAAGTACTATGTTTTTAATATAGCTAAGATAAAAACATTCTTTGAAGATAAGGTTGTTTCATGGATAAATGAATAACTTTGTTTAGAATGTTTTAAATTTCCTAACTCAAATATTAAATTTGTAGTTTATTTCTAATCTTGTTTTTCTTTTCATAGATATTTTAATAAAAATAATATAGCTTTGATATGCAAAGATGTTATTAAAACAATAATAATATTTTTTTTTATAAACATTCTACTTGCATTAGATATATTAATTAATTGAAATTAGGATGTTTTCTATATAAATGTATATTCGAATATAGTCAACATCTCAACATATCTTTTAAAACTTACCGGATGTGTGGTCAAAAATGCGTTCATGCCGAAACACTTATCATCAACATCCTTTTTATCATCAGACGATAAAAACGTTTCATATTCAGCGAACACTTCAAGATTTTGAACTGATTGAATATGCTGCTGAAAATTCTTCATCGCTTCGTTTAGCTCTTGTTCCCTTCGCTTTTCTAGTTTTGCTATCTGTCGATTTCAAAATAATTAACAAAATAACAAGTACGTACTTTTTTTACTGTTTAATTAAAGTCATGCTTCAGAATATTACTTGAATGAAGAAATCGAATGATTGAATTTTCGATGACTTGTGATTTCTTTCATGCTGATTTTTACTTAACTGAACCATGTTCAGTTGTTTTTTTGAATGGCCACTGATGAGACCTTCAATTATGTCAAGACCATAAGAAGTTGCAAATAAAAATTCCAGAAAGTTCATAGGTTTAGGATTAGTGAAAAACATCGATTTGAGTGCACTTGCCTGTTGTAGTATCTCCAAAACACTTTCAACGTTATTTTCAAATTTTTCTTTCTCGATCTGTATTTCTTTAATGTCAAGCTTTTCCTAGCAATAGAAACGTTTATCAAATATCCATTTCCACATGAAAAATTAAAATTAAAATTGAGTTTAGGGGGTCTTCCACCTGGGGTAAATTTTAACAACATTGAGGGTAAATTTTGCAAGCGAGAAAGTACTGGTAAAATTTACTGTTGGCCACATAGAAGATCGCAAAGTACTCTTTTACGCAATTTATGTTTATTATGTTCCCGATACGGAGAGAATAGTCTAGTTTTATGTTTTCGTGGATCAATCACAGCACACTAAGAATAGACGGTATACATAACAGAGGGGTAGATTTTACTTTTTTAATTTCCAATGGATAAACATTGTAATAAAGCTTGAGAACTGAGTTTGAATATTTAATCCAGATAGTTCGTTTTACCGAATTAGATGTAACCAACTGAGAAAAATTTTAAATTATACAATCGAACTCACAGAATTTGAACTAAGAAATTCCTTCGATCTGATGCATTCAACTTTGATAGCTTCTTTTTCATCAGGTGACAAAAACGTTTGATAATCTCCGAATATAGAATGCGTTTCAACTGAATGAACATATTGCTCAAATTCTCTAATTGCTTTATTATGTTCCTGTTCTTCTTTCCTTTTCATTTCTAGTTCTGCGATCTGTATCAATAAGATTATGATGTTTACTGGTTTATAAATGTATTCAATTTGATCAAAGCTTAATAGTGAATCTTAGTATCTTCATTCAGATTTTCAATCAGCAAACGAAAGTAAACTGGTCAAATAAAGATGTAAATATCCTAGCTTTTGTCCCGCATGATTACTCGGGGATTTATTCCGAAGTTGTGGTTAGACGGTACCGTCATGAGGGTATTTATAACACTTAGAACCAAGCAACAACCAAATAAAAGCCTATACTAAATGTCGAAACGTTACTTATGAATAAAATATTTGCTCAAAATGAGAATTATTCTAATTACAAACTAACTAAATGTTTGGACAAAATTTAAAAACTTTGCACGAATAGCATAAAATTTACCTGGGATTGATATTGCAGACTTTTCAACATATCATTAACAAAACATTTGAGTTTTGATTGTTTTTTATGTATTCGTTGGAGTTTGAAATCTTTCTGTAGATAACAATAAGAATACAAATTAATAAATCTACTGAACAATTTTGTGCGTCCCAGAAGTGTATGTACCATATGGAGATAACTAATTTTGTTCGCCTACTTTACACCATGTTGTGTAAAGAGATTGAAACCTATGGGTAGGAGGTATATTCTCTTGTCTAACACAGACAGTCCTAGAACGTGTAATAGAGCTAAAATATGGAAAATCGGAATAAAATTATGGCCTAACCGTGATCTGATACACACACTACGGGAGTCCCCAATTTTGAGGGATGATCAAGTTGGTAAGTGATTTATAACGCAATAAACATACGACCTTGTCATTTAGAAATTTCTCCAATGCAACACATTTTCTATTAATTTTGTTTCGATCTTCTGGAGATATAAACCTTTGATACTGTTTGAATACTTCATGTTGTTGGACAGAACGAATGTAGTTACGAAAACTTCGAATTACAACTCGTAGCTCTTGTTCTTGCCTTCCTTTCTCTTCCTGATAATATTTTAAGAGCAATGTTTAAATATCAATATTCAGCAGCAAATCGGGTTCATGATTCTTCTTTCATGTTGAAACAAAATTTATTTAAAATTCCCAGCTATCTGCCGGCATAAATTTTTACTGGTCTATCCAACGTCTAATTTTTCGTCAATAAAATCTGGTATATAAACTCCATCACAATGGTGTGTAGACTGCATATCAATAACCCAGAAAAATGTTTGATTTATATTTATTTTCGTCAGACATAATGTCAATATATAATTTTTTTTTGAATATATTACCTGATCTTTACTTTGTAAACTGTTCATGAGGATCTTGATAAAATCTTCGAGTTCTCGTCTTTCGGACTCAATATCTTTAATATCGAGCTTTCTCTGTATATAAACTAGTTTTATTATACTTGAATTATACAACATGAACATATATATATATGATAACTAAATCATATTTCTTGTTTTATTGACTGTACTAAGGATATACTAATTGTGACCTAATTTATTTCAAAAATTCGATACGTTCGATACGTAAAAACACTATTTCTGTTTGATTTAAAATTGTAGCCAAGTAATAAATACTCTACCTGATTGTCACTGAGCATTTTGTCCAATTCGTGGCATCTTTTGTTGACTTCATCTTTGTTATAAGGTGTCAATACCGATTCTAATGTCTCAAATATTTCGTAAGTTTGAACTGAACGAATGTACTTCTGAAAACTTTGAATAGATTCATTTCGCTTATTTTCTTGTTCTCTGTCACCTACAAGCTGTTATATTTAAACAATAATTTTTTTTCTCAATATTCGTAATTTAAAATAATAAACTAGTTAACCTTATGTCTGAAACCTTTTTGTGAATGATGTCCAGTAGATAAACGGTAATTAAATATAGCCCCATATTCATTTTTATGGCATTAGATTAATTACATTAGATCTAAAGGTAAGACAACAGTACGATCCACGCAGCAATCACGCTTGTGTAAATACCATTCTTTCAGAATTACTGTAGAAAATTGGTTAATATGATTAAAGTTTCATCGTAACTCACATTTTTCTACGCTTGGCAAAACATGGGTTTTTGTTGGCTAAATAAACAAGGAGTTATACAATCTATAACAACTTGTTAAAATTTAAATATTGTTACCTGAGCTCTGTGTTGTAATCTGTGTAGTACGCTACAAACAAAGTCTTCAAATCCGAGTCTTTTGGCCTGTACTTGCTTAATGTTGAAATTTTCCTGAAAATATAAGATATTTTATGAGATAAATATCAGCTTTTATAAGTAAAGAATTTTTTATGTAAAATTGAATTTAAAGATATTGAAGATAAAATTAGCGAGTGTTTCGTATATTCACCACAATCTTTATCTAAAAATGCTATATAGCCAATACTATTAGTATAACTCTGACAGAATGCAACGAATAGATAAATAGTAATTAAGATATAAAAAGCAGTACTTGTAATCTATATGTTAATATACAGTACAAATCAAAGAATGAATCCAATCTTTTCAAAGGAGATATACATATTTGCTCTGAACATAAGTCAAAGTCAAATGAACCTGTACAATATTAATAATGTTGATAACTTACTGATATTTCAGTGAGAAATTGGATCACATCACAACATTTATTTATAATTTCTCTTTTGTCATCAGGCGTTAAATAGCTTTCATGTTGCTGAAATATTTCATGCTCTTGAACGGAACGAATGTATTCTTGAAAATCCCGTAATTCTTCGTTTATTTTGTGTTCTTCTTTCATTGTATTTTCTCTGTCCACAGCCTGCAATTTTACCATTTAAATAATTGTTTTATGCAGCGCCTTTCTCCCATACAATTTTCTGTATACCCCGCCATATATGTTGGGAGCTACTGTTATTAACGTCTTGTTTTGGTGTTTTACCTTTGTATTAAACAAGACAATTGCAAATGTTTGATGAGCTTGACCTCGGCTCTGTCATATTGAATTGACTCGGTCGGTCATAGTATCTATAATTCAGTGAGTACTAGATGAATGCATAGTTTCCAATTGAAAGATTAATTTAATTATAAATAAAACGCTAAGTTTTTTAACATCGAATGAACTTGAGACATATCTTCTAAAATTAGTTAATAATATATATTATCTGCTAGAAAAATAATATTGAACTAAGCTGTTGCAGCTCAATAACAAGATACTTTTTTGAGCGTATTCCATCGTCCTGAGACGACTCTTTCGATTTGATTACATTGTGTATTTACGATGTATATTCTCAGCTTGGTGAAAAAAGGGAACTACTGAATGAAGAACAGCGTATAAAAATGTAACATCCTGAAAACGAATATCTTTGGCCAATACTGGCCTCCCGTCTCAGTGAGGTTTTACAAAATAGATATGCCATGCCGAAAGATCCGGGTTGAACATAATTCTTTTTTAAACACAGTGTTTCAACCCAAAGTATAAAACACCACCAGAATAAATATGAAAGTGTTCGTATATTTTACTCGCAGCTTTCGGATGAATTGTATTCGAAATAGTTTCAAAAAATAGTTTTTAGAAATCTGATACAAGTGACACTAGTCGCCTGTATATTCAACTATATAGTCGTTAACTGGTCGTTTAAATTTACTAGTCGTATAACTGGTTGTTTGACTGGCCGGTCTGGGCCTGCCATCACTCGCCATTTAAACTAGATATATCCTGTTGCTATCGTAACACAGACAAAAATCGAAAATATTGATTTACAAACCCAAGAAGCTAGTTTTTTGAAAGTGAGATATCAAGGTCTTGCTCAATGCTCAAGTAGGCGGCGTAAAAATATAAGGTACACCCGTAGTGTGTGTACCAGGTTTGGGATAGGCCATAATTTTATTCCTATTTTCCTTATTTTAGTTTCTTTACAAGATCGGGGAATGTCAGTGTTAGCCAAGTAAAAATCCTCCCTGCCAATTGGTTTCAGTTCCCTCACACAACTTATGTAAAGTAAGCGAACAAAATTAGTTACCTCCATATAGGTACACACATTTTTGAAGCGACAAATGTAGAGCTATTCAAACCAGTCAAACGTACCTCATTACCTCCTGGACAATCTTGTACAGCAGGATCGCACTCAGGGTATATTGCTGGGTTGTCTTGTTCTTGGCATTTTGGCTTCCTATTGGCCATATTCTTTTGGTCGGATCGATTTCCTATTTAATTCTTGTCTCGTTGCCTTGTTCTAAAATTTCCAACTGTATGTATCTGTAAAATAAATTTGCTAAATTTCCAACTGCATGTATATTTTAATTAATTGTCAATATGAACAATATTTTATTGAAGTCTCAAAACGCTGAATTGCAAGTTATTATCACATATTTGACATGTTGTTGTAAAACAGGGATGGGCGAACTACGAAAAATACAGAACTTAAGTTGTTAGTCATTTCGTTCAGTATATTGCACCACTAAGTTTTATCATCGATGCTGAAAATAGAAATTTGCATGTGCTTGTCCAGTGGCTTTTTGTTCTCTTAGTACATAAAAGCTGTGAATAAAAATATCTTACCAAATGCGGTCGGGAATCCACGAATTCACGTAACTACGTCGTGCATGGTAAAGGCATAGTCAACAAATCATAGCCTAGCCTAGTTACCTAGTACAAAGAGGAACAACAATAAATATGACTTGCTCAAAGTCGTATCGTTTGTGAACATTTACTTTGCCGTCGTGGGTTGTGCTTTTGTGTAGCGAAGCGTATTGAAGTAACGCTTTAGAAATGTATATCCTGGTGTTCGTATGAAATGCATGAACTAATAATGAATACGATACTCGAATTCGAATCGAGACTCCGTATTTGGATGCATATTGTATCAGTATGGCAGCTTGTTTTATTGAATTCAACGCACATTTGTAAGAATTTTTGACTCTGGTTACTGGTTTATAGAAGATAAATTTTTTATTGATATAGCCAATGTAGACATTATGTCAGATCGTATTTTTAGACTCTCAACCAAGCGCTTTTTACCATTCGACGACCGGCCCTTCCTGTCTTTCGTAACTTGTTGGAGCTTTAACCTTTGTTTAATCATAGCACTTTGCCATCGTTCCTATTAAATTAGTAGTCCAAGTCTTTATAACTTCAATATTTATAAGTCCTACCTGAATAAACTATACGAATAAATAAACAGCTTTGCCCACAATTTCTATCTCCTGACAGAAACCTGAAATATTCTATTTCAGTGGTTCCCAAGCTATGGGTCGCGACCCACTGGTAGGTCGCAAAAGAAATCTTAGTGAGTCGTTAAATGATGTAAAAAGCTTTGATTAATTATACTGGCTATTAGGATCGGTGGCGACTAGAATATGTAAATCTTAAAAAAAAAAAAAATTAAATTTAAATCCTAATCTGTGAAAGTTTCCTTTTTACGATCTTTTCAACGGAACAGAATTTGCTACACAAAGAATGACCATGTGCCTTTTTTGTCTATAGCAGTTTCGTACACTGTACAGCACTTCTTACTTCTTACCGTCTTTCCCCGAAATTTAGACAGGATTTAGATTTATTTTCCTTAGAAGAATAACACTATGCTTTTTTTTGGAAGAGGTCTTCTGTGTTCATTTATCAAAAATAAAATTAGATTGTGGAAAATCACTAGATGAGTCGCCATAAGCTGTGGTAATAAATAGTGGGAACCACTGTTCTATTCGATATGCTCACTGAATGAGGCAAACTCGCTAAACAACTGCCTGGCCTTTAACGATTATCCGTTGTAATGTCAGATGAATTTTTATGTCTATTTACATTGCAAACTAATAAATCTTGAAATAATGCTTTCCAAACATTGCGTAATATAATGATTGATTTAAATCATTTAAATTTGGAAGATTTTGTTCGTCAAACAATACAGCAATCGAACAAATCGTTTTTTTATACGTCATCCTGGCAAACAAACACAATAAAGAAAAAGCAAATTTTATATTTGCCAAGAATGACCAGGATAACGGGGACATGGTCATTCTGTTTACGTGTCAGCGGCTACTTTGCATTGCGTCCAATGGTATGGTAGCGGGAATAGCATTTTTGAAATTATTGAAGTAGAAACTTCTCCTAGTCGAAAGCAGACGAGATTAGAAATTCAGACCTGAAATAAAAACTACTGCAAGCGTCATTTTGCTTTGTTCATTGGGATTCTGTGGCGCTAATTTTTTTTCCTTGCCTATGCTTCCCCTATATCCTAATGAAAAGATGCAAAGCAAGAGTGAAAAACAGCGATTCTGGGTGATTAAAGAATTTTGCTACACACCAGCACAAATATATTTGTGTAACTCGAATAATTTAAAATAAATGTTGTTTGTTCAAAATCACAAGACATAATTGATGCCGTACATTTTCAACCCTAAACTTTTTTTTACGTGGAATAATCAATCAACGTGGGTGTTTCATGTGTCTTGGTACACTGTTGGCGGGATGTATCAAAAATGACGTTGCTTACTTGTCCCACACATGCACCACACATGTTTGCACTTGTCTCATTTGTCCTACAATGGAGCATGCTTTTTCAATATTCAATATATATTCCAGTTTAAGTAAAATATTATTATAGGTAAAGTTTTAAATCATTTTTCAATGATTACTACCATTGCATATTTATTTAAAGTATTCTATCGCACACATTATAAAGGAACACATAAAAGGAATATGTATGTTTATGCCATATCCACCCAAAGTTGTTGCTTGCATAATGTCTCCGTTTTAAATTATGTGATTTCATTCCTAACCACAGGGCTATTCATTTTCAAGGTCAAAGATTTTGTATTGGGTCAACTCTCTTTCAAGCGGTATTTTTATTCGATAAGCACAAATTGAATCATAATTGACAATAAAAAACATTAAATACGATAAATTCTAACAGCAATACTATTCTAATGACAATGAGTATTTTTTTCTAATGGCAATCGATTTTTGTAAGCTTGTCAGACACAAAGTTAAAATTAAAAATTACGCACCTCGTTGCGATTCCGAGTTCGCGTTCGCGATCATTGCAATGTAATTCTCAGTCGAGGACGGTAAGACTACGGTCGGGTACAAGTACTGTGAAAAATTGAATATCTACTTCATTTTGGCTTTCGTATCTATATATTTGAGCATTGTCTAAATTTTTCCAGAATGGCATAATATGTGTGCCCAGCACAATATTTGTGCTTTATCTCTTTCTCATGAAATGTTACGCAAGGTGATTTCTAGTTCCGTACGCAGGGCTCAAATATTCAAATCGAAACCATTTTCTCGATTACAAATTGGATCAGTGCTCATTGAGCGACATAAAGCATACAATCTATTACGTTTCGTCTGGGGAATTCGTGTAGGTATTTTACGTGGTACCTGTAATTAGGTTGGCATCGAGGCAGGCAATTCAAAAATTCAACCTCATAAAATGTAAACCCAGCCAGTACAATTTTTGAACCAACATGAGCTCAATTGACAAGTATAGCGATTGAGATTACTGAGCAGATAAACTTTTATGCGTATGACTTGCAGTGAGTGGCATCTGGTGAGCGATGAGGTTCAGTGCGGGGACAACCATAGAGGAGTCGCTGATATATTATTGAGCATCGCATCGTCAATATTTTTATGCTATATATATGCTCAAATATGAATCATACTTTTGAAGCTGATCTGTTTAAACCGGATATAAATTAACCAAAATTTGCTGTTGGAGTACAAGATGTCAGTTACATTGGGTTTAAATCTTGAGCCGACACGTCACTCACAGTTTAACGATCGAGGCAATGACCGTGGCTTATATTTGGGAACGATGTGAAAGGTATTCGTTGAAAGTATTTTTTTAGTCACAAAAAGGATTCCACCGCCAAACGACCTGGGCGCTTTTTTTCATTTCAGATAAAACACAACAAAAATCAAAACGAGAATATTGGTTAGAGACCGAAGACTTATAGATCGAAAGTTAGGCGATCCCCCAAAACAGCGCTCTTATTCCATAGTGACACCTTGTGTCCCATCACTAATTAATTGATAACTCGCTAATTATACGACATAATTCATCCAAAATCAATAGGCTTCTGGTACGACATATGATGAATGCACATGCAAAATCTGGAGCAGATTCAATCTTGCTTTCGTGAGATATCGCGTGCATCTAACAGACAGACAGACAAATATCTATTAACATACTTACCGATTAAAATCGATAAGTAAATAAGATGCTAAACCGAGTCAATTATTAGATTTGAATATATTCAGACCCTGAAATAAGAGGCGTAAAAACACGTTAAAACTATACTTGATATCAGTCACTACTAGCTTTGCAGCTCAATGCTTAGAATAAACCTTAAGTGTTGCGTACGTTACACTAACCCGGAAGTATGGTATATTACACATGCTTTGTCAATTACCAATTTGAGGTAGTCACTTGCTGACGGTGATTGGCGATATTTATTAGATCTACGCTATAGGAGACCCGTTATTGAATCTCCGCTATAGGAGATCCCTATTATTATTATCGGTCGTTCGGTTGGATCTCCGCTATAGGAGACCCTTATTATCGGTCGTTCTGACTGTCTGTGTGTCCAGCTCTGGCGTCTTAACGGCTGGACCGATCTAGAGGAAATTTCACCCGTAGGTTATACTGTCAACCTAGTTATGTACATTTTACCGGAAGTCCGGATTTGTGTTTCGTTTCCATGGCAGCAGCAAAAAACGCTCTAATCCTTGAAAATATTCCCATTTTATTATAAATTACCGCCATTTTTTCGTCAGCCAAGTCGAATATTAAAATTCCGAGAATGCTACCCTCCGCGGAAGAAAATACTCTTTCTAACAAGTCTTCTTCATTGTATAGTCCATAAATTAAGAAAGCCTTAGGGATTTTAGTGAACATGTTCAATCATTATCCACGGCATAACATTGCACACGGATACGGATGAGCCGCACAGCGCTCAAAATGAACTGGCAGTTTTGGTACAATTTTCTCTGTACAATGGCGTCTCCGTATTACCCGTTAGTAAACTGGAATGACGCGGACTCTGTCGATAGCGGAGATCCATATCGGGCGCCTAACGGCTTGTCTGTCTGTGTGTCCAGCTCTGGCGACTTAACGGCTGGACCGATATAGAATGCTACCTTCCGCAGAAAAAAATACTCTTTCGAACAAGTTGTCTTTCGTCTCGATATTCCATGAACTGGAGAAACTTTAGGGATTTTAGCGAACATTATTTTAACCATTAGCAACAGTAGAGAATGTCTACAAAACGCGCAGAACCTAAAATGAACTGGTAGCTGACGTTATAGATCACGGGTGGACAAGATTTTTGGATTAGGGACCAAAAATTTTGCCCACAGTCACTGTAACCATGTAATTGCGACGTTAAAAGTTACATTTTATGAACAATATTTACAGTGTTACAAAAGCAACATTGGAAAACAATCGGCCTCGTGCCAAAACTAAATTTAACCGCAATCAACAAGTTTCTCGAGATATGTTTAGCTAAAACATCAAAATATGATTTTCGTTTGGTTGTGGCAGCATAGGGCGGGCCAGATTAAAATCACCCAATGAGCTGGATTTGGCCCGCGAGCCGTACTTTGCACATGTCTGTTATAGATTCTGAAGTTT